AGCCATATAAAAATCAACATTTGAAGATTTCTAAGCCTTTTATACTTAAGAAGTATTGTTATTTCCAACTTTACTAAGTTCTTCTTTTAATTATTTTTAAACATCTTCAATAGATCTTAATCGATTATATATTTCATGATTTTCCATTCTTAAAGATTCTAAATCATGATCATTTTTAAAAACAATTTTTTTTTATTTATCTAATTTAGCATTGATTTATTGTAAAATAGAGTTTGTTTATTTTTCATAAAAGACAGCTCTTTCATTAGCATTTAAAAAATTAGTCAAATGCATTTTAATTCTTGTATGTAAACTATTTTTTAAACCATCCACAGTATAATCAAATATCAAAGTATCAGTTTATTTTTCTTCATGTGATTACTTTTATCTAGCTTATTCAATATTAATTAATTCTTATGAAGTTAAAGTAGATCCTTATTAAAGATACTTATCTAATTATTTAACTAATCCCATATCTTAATGTAATAATTCTGCTTTTTTTTAATTTGATACTTTAGCTAGAGAACCTTTAACTTTAGACTTAAAAAGATTTTCATTTTCTGGTTATTAAAATTTATCATCAGATGATTATGATTACATTAATTTTGGAAATGCAGGTAAGAGTGTTGTACCAATTCTTTTATCAACACCTCCTCTTCTAAATGAAGAGATTGATACAGCTTTCTAGAGTTAAGCTATTACCTATTCTATATTAAAACAAATATCTTAATACTTTCTTTTTCAATTTCTAATTATTTCTTTTCAAATTCTTACTATTTCTAAATCTTTACTTGTTTCCACCATTAATCTAAGTTTGCCACCATTAAATCATCACTTTCTGCCTTATATTATCTATTTCCTTTAAATTATTCTTCTTTATGTAGCACTGCTTTTACAATCTATACGTTTTCATCTTCATCTAATTTCTCATAACTAATATTATTATATAATTATTTTACATTTCTTAAAGTAATAATTTACCTCCAGGTTCATTCACTAATTTATTCCTTAAATTAGACTCCAAATCTGAACGTTTTACTTTTTTGTATAACTTTATTGGTTTCTTTGTAAGATCTTTTGGACTTGTAGTTACAATTTCATTCTAAATATATTATTCTATTCTACCATATCTGGTTGAATAATATCATAAAATTAGATTGAATTCATTTCATCATTCAATATTTTTTTTTTCATGTCATTTAATACCAATTATTCTATTTGATAATGGTTTTGAGGTCTAACCTTATATTGTAGAATCTCAGGAGATGATTATGAATTTTGCTTTTTAGACATTAAATATATTTATAATATTTCATTAATTTAATTTGCGCAAAACCCAATTCCTTTATTTATCTTATAACTTTTTAAGTATCATAAATAAATATTTTGTAGGTAATAACATTCTTTTATTATTTTTATTTTAATTTTTTTCTAATTTTCCAAATCCCCATTTACAATCTAATTTCTTTAAAATCTTCTCTAAATCTTACAATCCATATTAAAATGACTTCATTTTCCTTCTCTATCTCAATGAGTGTAATTATAATAATTTAATACTTTATTTCTATTGCTTATTTTGATATTAATACAATAACTCAAATAAAATTGGAGATTCTTATTTAAAACATTGAATTTGCTAAAATGAAAATTGAATTTACTTTTTGAATACCTTCTATAAACACTTTTACAAATGCAAATTTTTATAGATTTTATTCAATAATTATTCATATTCAAATAATTTAATATTTATAAACCTTGTTAATCTTTTTAAACCCTCTCTTCTTTTTATTTATTATTTCATAGTATGAAAGTATTAACTTAATTTATTTCTATAAATTTTTTTAATCTTAGATCCAAAATGATCAAAAAATATTAAAAGTTATGTTTGTTGAGACCAATACTTCAAATATACTTACATTAATAATTGTTCTTATTTCATTTTATTTGTAAGTATCTTTCTTAATTATTCTTTTTTAGCATATTACAATTTCTTATTAACTGAGCATAAATTCCTTTACAATATAAAAAATTTGATTTCCTAAAATGAAATAATCATCTTCTTCTTTCTAATGTTTTGAAGTACCATAAACAATAGAATTGGAGCATTTGTTGGTTAAATACTCTCACAATCTACAATGCTTTCCTATTTGATACTTAAATTAGCAAATGAAATCTTGAATCCTTCTCCTACATCTAAATTTTCGCTCACTCCCATTGAACATACTTCATCAAAGATATTTCTATCACAAACTACTGATTCTTTTATCCTTATCAACTCTCTCAAGTTTCTTAGAATTGGTTTTTGGAGGGCTTCTAATAGTAATTTAGCCGCACTCTCTTAAACAATTGTATTTGGGTTACAATTCTCTTTGTTCTTTCTAAGCATTTTACTCTACAGAAATTTATGAGAAAGATCTTTTATCTATTTATTTGCCTTGCTGAAATCAATAGTTCGGATTGTTTACATTTTCATTTTTTATATTTAAATTATATTACGTTAAACTCTCTACTACTCAATATTACCAGATACTTTTTAATCAGCATTTTTCATTAATAGATTAGAATAAATTATAATCTAATTAAACATCTCAAATACTTATAAACATTTTCTTATTTTATTAAATAGAATTATACTTTTCAAATTTAAATTACCATACTATGGAAATAAATATAATTTAAAGCTTTTTTCATTAAACTCTTTTAAGAACTTTAATTGTCTAACATTTTTTTATTAGATTATTATTCCCAATAATTTTCTCATTTAGAATTATTCTATACTTCATTTTTATCTTTCATAAGATAAAAAATTATTTTTCAAAATAGATTTAAAATAAAATAAATATAAAAGATCTTACATTTAAAACCCACAAGCTTAAATAATATATATATATTTTTTATCTATATTAAATTTCATCAAAAAGTTTATAAGTTATTAATCAAAAATGAATATCATGTGAAGAAGGTTATTAATCAAAAATGAATATCTTATATATATGTTACTCCTATACTTTCAAATTTGAAGATGATGAAAATAAAACTATACAAAAACAATTTTTTTATTTTCATCCAAGATTTAAATTAAATTTAATCAGAATAATAAAAACCTAAAAAGACAAAAATAAAGCTTAAGCGATTTTTTATAGATATCGATCATAATCTTTTTATAATAAGATTAAATTAATCTGTTCCTTGAGTTAAAAATCATAATATTATGTATTATATTAAAATTTATAGAAGTTTTAAAATTCAGAAACCGAAAATTATTCTTCAAATATTCTATTAAATGATTTAAATTCTGATTTTTAATCTAGAATTAATCATCATAACATNACATTAATAATTGTTCTTATTTCATTTTATTTGTAAGTATCTTTCTTAATTATTCTTTTTTAGCATATTACAATTTCTTATTAACTGAGCATAAATTCCTTTACAATATAAAAAATTTGATTTCCTAAAATGAAATAATCATCTTCTTCTTTCTAATGTTTTGAAGTACCATAAACAATAGAATTGGAGCATTTGTTGGTTAAATACTCTCACAATCTACAATGCTTTCCTATTTGATACTTAAATTAGCAAATGAAATCTTGAATCCTTCTCCTACATCTAAATTTTCGCTCACTCCCATTGAACATACTTCATCAAAGATATTTCTATCACAAACTACTGATTCTTTTATCCTTATCAACTCTCTCAAGTTTCTTAGAATTGGTTTTTGGAGGGCTTCTAATAGTAATTTAGCCGCACTCTCTTAAACAATTGTATTTGGGTTACAATTCTCTTTGTTCTTTCTAAGCATTTTACTCTACAGAAATTTATGAGAAAGATCTTTTATCTATTTATTTGCCTTGCTGAAATCAATAGTTCGGATTGTTTACATTTTCATTTTTTATATTTAAATTATATTACGTTAAACTCTCTACTACTCAATATTACCAGATACTTTTTAATCAGCATTTTTCATTAATAGATTAGAATAAATTATAATCTAATTAAACATCTCAAATACTTATAAACATTTTCTTATTTTATTAAATAGAATTATACTTTTCAAATTTAAATTACCATACTATGGAAATAAATATAATTTAAAGCTTTTTTCATTAAACTCTTTTAAGAACTTTAATTGTCTAACATTTTTTTATTAGATTATTATTCCCAATAATTTTCTCATTTAGAATTATTCTATACTTCATTTTTATCTTTCATAAGATAAAAAATTATTTTTCAAAATAGATTTAAAATAAAATAAATATAAAAGATCTTACATTTAAAACCCACAAGCTTAAATAATATATATATATTTTTTATCTATATTAAATTTCATCAAAAAGTTTATAAGTTATTAATCAAAAATGAATATCATGTGAAGAAGGTTATTAATCAAAAATGAATATCTTATATATATGTTACTCCTATACTTTCAAATTTGAAGATGATGAAAATAAAACTATACAAAAACAATTTTTTTATTTTCATCCAAGATTTAAATTAAATTTAATCAGAATAATAAAAACCTAAAAAGACAAAAATAAAGCTTAAGCGATTTTTTATAGATATCGATCATAATCTTTTTATAATAAGATTAAATTAATCTGTTCCTTGAGTTAAAAATCATAATATTATGTATTATATTAAAATTTATAGAAGTTTTAAAATTCAGAAACCGAAAATTATTCTTCAAATATTCTATTAAATGATTTAAATTCTGATTTTTAATCTAGAATTAATCATCATAACATAATTAATTACATCAATCATTTATTAAAGTTGTTATATATATAAAATCAAAATATTATTAATGTGTAATCAAAGCCTAAAAATCAATACAATTCAAATGGATTCATTCTATCTAAGCTTTCCATATTTTTGTATAAACGAATAATTACGCCTAAATTTAAAAATTAATTTTACTTTCCTATTTGACTATTAATGTATCAAATGGTCCAATTTATTTTAAAATTTTTCTGAAATGGATTTTTTTTTACAGTTTTATATGAAAGGCAGTGACAGATTTAACGTAAATTATTATGTCAATATAATTTTGTTCAGAAGAAATTTCTATTGATATTTAATTATCATTAAGTCTCGACAAAAATGTCATTAATTTTGTGAGCAAATTATTAAGCATTTGTTTCATAGTAACTATTAAAAAATCATGTTCTATATGATAGTAACATTAAATTTGAATACTATATGCTTTTTGGTATAATATTATAAATTCTTTTATTTTAGAGTTAATATTACAAGAGGAAAGTTCTTAATTTTTTGAGATTGAAAATTTCGATAAAATATACATTAATTTTGTTTACATTTTATAAAATGAGTGACTATCATAATTAGATTTATTAATTAAATTAAGCTAAACCTTCAAGAATTTATTTATGCCATTGCTAAAAACCTAAAATCCTTTTTCTAATTTTTAAACTTTTTATTTTTAAGATAAAATAGTTTATTGTTTTTGATCAATTACAATCATGAACATCAATTCTGTTATATAAAATTCAGAATATTTAATGATTAATTTTTCATTGGGTTTTTTTTTATTATTTAATTCTAAGATTTTGTTTACCAAAAATTTTTTATTGTGTGTATTGAATCTATTAAAAATAAAGTCTTCTAAAGAAGTTCCAAATATCATATACTTTCTTAATAAGGCTTTGAGGTTGTGTTAATTTTATTTGAATGGATTGAATTAAGTAAAATCTGAAAAATTAGAAAGTTTAATTTAAAATGACAAATGATTCTAATCAAATGTAAAATAAGCAAAAGGATCATCAAGTAATAAAGGAATAATCATTTCTTGGATTCTAATGATAATATTAAAACTACCTTAAGAATTATCATTAATTGTGAATAGGAATGATTGTCTATATTATTTATTAGTTCTCTATAATACAAAGATAGCCATTAATGCAATCAAAAATGTATATAAATAAGTTTAAAGTGATATTTATCCATCACTAATTTCAGCTATGATAATTTTTATTATAAGATTATTTATTAGTTAGATTATGGCAAACTTGAAATCTGATATAAGCATTATAACCACATGTAATATCATCATCATTTAACCGAAGAGATAGGCTTCTTAAAAGTCATAACCAGAATTTACGGTTATTTAATATACCATTAGAATGTGATTTATAAAAATGAGGTANTATCTAAGCTTTCCATATTTTTGTATAAACGAATAATTACGCCTAAATTTAAAAATTAATTTTACTTTCCTATTTGACTATTAATGTATCAAATGGTCCAATTTATTTTAAAATTTTTCTGAAATGGATTTTTTTTTACAGTTTTATATGAAAGGCAGTGACAGATTTAACGTAAATTATTATGTCAATATAATTTTGTTCAGAAGAAATTTCTATTGATATTTAATTATCATTAAGTCTCGACAAAAATGTCATTAATTTTGTGAGCAAATTATTAAGCATTTGTTTCATAGTAACTATTAAAAAATCATGTTCTATATGATAGTAACATTAAATTTGAATACTATATGCTTTTTGGTATAATATTATAAATTCTTTTATTTTAGAGTTAATATTACAAGAGGAAAGTTCTTAATTTTTTGAGATTGAAAATTTCGATAAAATATACATTAATTTTGTTTACATTTTATAAAATGAGTGACTATCATAATTAGATTTATTAATTAAATTAAGCTAAACCTTCAAGAATTTATTTATGCCATTGCTAAAAACCTAAAATCCTTTTTCTAATTTTTAAACTTTTTATTTTTAAGATAAAATAGTTTATTGTTTTTGATCAATTACAATCATGAACATCAATTCTGTTATATAAAATTCAGAATATTTAATGATTAATTTTTCATTGGGTTTTTTTTTATTATTTAATTCTAAGATTTTGTTTACCAAAAATTTTTTATTGTGTGTATTGAATCTATTAAAAATAAAGTCTTCTAAAGAAGTTCCAAATATCATATACTTTCTTAATAAGGCTTTGAGGTTGTGTTAATTTTATTTGAATGGATTGAATTAAGTAAAATCTGAAAAATTAGAAAGTTTAATTTAAAATGACAAATGATTCTAATCAAATGTAAAATAAGCAAAAGGATCATCAAGTAATAAAGGAATAATCATTTCTTGGATTCTAATGATAATATTAAAACTACCTTAAGAATTATCATTAATTGTGAATAGGAATGATTGTCTATATTATTTATTAGTTCTCTATAATACAAAGATAGCCATTAATGCAATCAAAAATGTATATAAATAAGTTTAAAGTGATATTTATCCATCACTAATTTCAGCTATGATAATTTTTATTATAAGATTATTTATTAGTTAGATTATGGCAAACTTGAAATCTGATATAAGCATTATAACCACATGTAATATCATCATCATTTAACCGAAGAGATAGGCTTCTTAAAAGTCATAACCAGAATTTACGGTTATTTAATATACCATTAGAATGTGATTTATAAAAATGAGGTAGCTATCTATCCAGGATTTTTTATAATAGAGTATTACAAAAGTTGTGATGAGTACCAAGATTGCAAGGCCTAAAAAGATGTAGAGAGTTATGTATTCTTAGAAAATGAACGATAGTATTGATCTAAGAACACAAATAATAAAGCTGATTAGACTTATGCCTTTGAAAACAGGAATTGTAAATTTCTATCTATTTTCTTAGTATTTTAATTCTAAATCCTTAGAATTAAATGATAATGTGAATTTGTTCATTATTATAATATTAATAACTTTTTAATTTTTAAAAAATCCTTTATAACCCTTTAATCAAATTTAATAGAGTCGATAGTTTAAAAATTTTTCAACAGATGTTTCATAAATATAATATTCAAAAAAATAAATATCTTGTTAAGAATTCCATTTTTTCATCTAACTCAATTAAGTAGAGTTTTGATATTTTTAAGATTAATAATTACTATTCACTTTTGAAAAATACAAAATCAAGAAAATTTATCATTTTTTTAATGATTATTTTATAGATATAACTTGATTTAAAATTCAGATTCTGCATATATGTAAAGCAATCAAAAAAGTATCGAAAGTTATAAAAAAGTATAACTATGATACTAAACCAAGCATGTTTAGATCAGTGCCTTCTAATATTCATTTAGCTTTAATAATATTTTAATCTTTTATAAAACAAATTTTTGGCCATCTGAAATTTTTTCGCTTCAATCAAAGACTTAAATTATAGAATAATATTTAAAACTAATTGTTCAATTTTCTATCATCATCATTTTCATATTAATAAAAAATATTAAAACTATTCTTAATTTAATATAAATCTAAAAAGTATATTATATTACTTTTTAGAGAATTTTAAAGCTATTTGGCAATTTAAATGAAGATCTCATTTTAATGAAAATTGAAATAAATTTTAGTATTGTTTTTCATAATATTTTTTAGAAAGATATAGTACATAATTTTTGCTATTTTAATAAATTTACCACTTTTTAGTTAATTGAGGTTCTGCTATTATTAGAAAAGTGTTTTTGAAAAAAGTGCTAAAAATAAAAATAGAAAAAAGCTCATACTTTTGCATAAAAGTTTTCATACATTCTATTGTTTAAATTATAATATAAAAAATTATAAACAAAATACTTTTTTAAAAATGAAATTTTTTTAAATTAAAAGTTAATAATAAGTCAATAAAAAAAGTAATTTATAATCAAAAATTTGCTCATTATATTTAGAGAAATATAAATAGATGATTATTTTGATAAGTGCATTATTAAATGTGGTAAATTCTTTTGTTGGAGATTAAACATGTCTTAGCAAAGTTACTCCAAGTACTTGCTAAAATCTTGGGTATTGCTATTGGGATGGTTCAACTTGTTAGGTGGAAGATTGTTATAAAATTGATGAAATAGCAGCATGTAGAGCAAGTGGAGTTCTACATTCTCCAATTATTTGTAATGCATTAGAATTAGATGGATATTTTTTTTAAATATATGCTAATGTATGTAATGATCCAAGTGAGGATTCAAATGAATTAGTTCAACATTACATTAGATATTAAGAACCAAAGAATGGATATGCTGATAAAAGTTCAGATGGTGTTACATTGAACATATGGAATACACTGTTTCCACAATATGGATACATAAGCTAAATATACACAATTTAAATATTAAAGCAAAACATGGTGCAATTAGATTAGACATTAGATATTTATATAAAATACTAATCGTTATTGTTATATGATACTAATTGGACATATGAATAAGAGAAATCGATAAGTTATATGCTATAATAATTGAGAGTATTATGATAAATATAATAAAAGGATGACACTACATTAGTGAATACAAATAAGAAACCAATGATTACAAAAGTATGGTAGATAATTGATAATTTATTGGAAAGATTTAGAATAATAGGAAATAATTATACAGCAATATATCCTTTATATAGTATAAGCCAGGTCTCTTTATCAAGATTGTAAGCTGAATTATCGGGAAGGAAACATCTGGCTGCTTTTAAATGGAATCAATATTTATAAAATGGATATGTTTAGATTTTGGGGTATGATATACATCAATTTGGATTTGTTGGGTAATTGACTTAAGTATATGAAATAAATGTATTTGATAGTGGACACAACACATAAAGTTTAACTTATGGAATAACTTTTACTTTTCCATTTGATGTAACAGCTATTGCACCAATTTATCTTTATTCTTTCAATAAAGCAACTCTTTAGGAGACTCAAATAAGAATGTTAACAATAGGACCCACTGATGAATGTAGTTATGATTCTACAGCATTAAAATCTAAATGCAATATTTATCCAATTACAGGGAATACCCAGTATTTTATAGGAACAGCATTAAATACTTGTTTGAGTATTCCAAAGAGATATTTATGTAAATAGCCTCGATGTTTATGGACAGGTTCAAGTTGTACAGACAATCCTCCTTGAATTATATAAAATATTTCATGATATTCATTTTATTTTTAGTAGATTTTGTTATGAGTATTCTGATACCAGCAACAGGAGAATGTAGTGCTTATAATAATTGGATTTTCTAAACTCTGGATATTGTTAATGGAATAGATCTTCATGTGTACTTTATACTACAAATCAAGATTGCTATAAAATTGATGAAATAAAAGCTTGTTAACCTAATGGAAAATATTAAACCATATGCTGCCCTTTAAATTTACTTAGTATATATTATAAGAATGTATGTAGAATAACTACAATTATTGAATATAATTTTATTAGATATTCCATTAAAATGACAGGTTATCCACAATTTTTAATTTCTAGTCTAATTATCGCATAATTGAAAATTGCTTAACAATAAATTAAACTTCTTATATCATGTCTTAACTATCAATATTCAGATTGCTCATAATAAGGAATTATAAGATATATTAGATTAATATCGTTTATTAACATTTCAATCTATAATTATTATAAATTTAATTTACTTAGTTATAGAGAAACTTTTTGTACATCCCTTTTATTTGGGAAAAATGCTGATTCCAAATTTTGTAAAATTTAAGAAATGATACATATACCATAAATAACGCTGATAAATAAAATACTCTTATTAAATTCTGGAGTTATAGTATAAGGGTATTAATAGAAAATGGTTTAATATATTAAAAATTATTAAACGAACTATTATTTTAAATTTTGCTTAGACTACTTTCTCAAGATTGTAGATTTCTCTAGAGGGATAAAATCACATCACTTCATTAATATTTGTTAAATATGAAAGAATGGTTATATTCAGATAATATCTTATATACTAAACTATTTGGCATAAGCTATGAGAGATGTGATTTTATGTAAATTTTATTGCTTAAGATAATACACCATTTACCAAAATTGAAAATATGGAAATTATTTATACTCAAATAATAGGGCTACTGACTAATGTTGCAAGATAATTAAAATTCATTTCAGATAAAACTTAAATTCTGAGTTAATATTTTTATTATTAAATTTAATATTTTATTGATCTATTTAAATAATTATAAAATATCTATATAAATAATTTTTTTCATCTGTGATAAAACACCATTTTTATATTAATTCTATTTCAAATAGACAATATGATTATTTAAAAATTAAATGTACTTTTTCCTCTACTTTAACATCTACCCCTTGTGATGATAAAGAGTTAACTCCCTTTTTATATTTATGGTTATGATCATATCTTTTTACAGTATTAACAACCCAAACAGATTTCAACAAAAATTTGGAATAAATTAGAAGGAAAATAGAGTGATAAAAAAATGTAATTTTAATAATTAATATAACTCTCATTTAACTACATTTTCAACAACTTCAAAATTTTTTTGTCTAATTTACTTAAGATTAAATCTTTTTTTGGTAGTAGAATTAGTAATTTATGATCCAGCCTATGATTACTAAGATGGTAATCTTGGTGACCAAAATTAAGAATGTTAATGAACCTTTTCTGGAGATTTCATTTGAGAAAGTAGAATGCTTCTTCCAATATCTTAAAGTGGTAATTCTTAAGCAGATACTCCTCTTTTTCTATCATCAGTTTGATTTTTAGGTCTAGTTATACTAATAGTCATTCTAGTGTAACGATCTTAACTAAAATTAAATGAAAATAGTTGAATACACAGTAGATTAAACATCATTATCAATGTTGTTATAAATTTATTAAACATTTCCAATGGAGATTTATCTTTATTTTTAGAATGGTTTTTTCCATTCAGATTATCTAACTTATTCTATGAATCCATTAATGGTTTATCTTTAATTTAAAGAAGACTATTAAGAATTAGTAGGATTATTATCAGTAGGAATAGTATCTTTTTAGAATTTATCTAATTAAGCTCTACATTTTTAGCATCCTTTCATATAACCTAATCTATATTCTTCTTGTGCTTTTTTTAAATTTTTTTCAACTTAAACTCCTTTTTCATAAACTTTTCCTTTCATATAATATGTAATAGTCCAATCTTTATTGTTTTCTTCAATTTATTCTAAGAAAGAAAAGAAATCTTCAATAGCTAATTCATTTTTTCTTAAAGCTTAAAATCTTAAACTCAGTAATTTCTAGGCACATTTTAGATCACCTTTCATGCAACCCTATTCAAAAATTAAATCAGCCATAACTTAATTTTATTATACTTCATCTTATAATCCTTAATGAAGTAATAATCCTAAGTCATAAAAGGCAGGTAAATAATCTTAATTTTTAGCCTGATTCAACAGTGGTTAGATTAATTAACTTCGATTCTATATGAAAAGATATAAACTACTTTATAAAGTGGTTATTTGCACATTGTCTAATAAAGAAGAGCTAATTTATGCATAGCTTAGGTAGAATTTTTATTTTTAGCTTATTTATAATAGAATTCTGCATTCGAATAATCTTTTTCTAAAGTATCTAAATTAAATAAAATTGAATATATTATTACAATCCTATAATTATAATCCATTACTATAAAGATCTCCCAAATAGATCATGGATTCTAAATGATCTAATTCTGCTGCTCTTTTTAATAGAGTCATTGCAAATGTACAATCATAATTACGATTATATACTTCACTACTTGCTATAGTATTATCATCTTTATCAGAGAATTTATCATAAACCTTTCCTTCCTTAAAAATTAAATATAATAATACTAAAACTAATTTAGAAGTATGATATAAACTGAAAGTATTTCTTTAATCTGCACTTTTTTTAAAATAAGTGAAAGCCTATAATTATTATATATAAATTTAACTTAATCATAATCTTTAGGTCCTGTAATGCCTTCTAAACATATTTATCCCATGATAGCTTATGCTATTGGATTATTCTCTTCTGCCAATTTTGTATATAATTACAAAGCTGCTATTTAATCTTTCTCTCTACCAAGTCCAGCAAATAACTCATGTGCATTTCTTAATCGATGATCTATCTAAGGTTATACTTTAGAAACTTAAATTGGTTTTGTTTATTAATTTTATTATTATTATTGTTTTTATGATGTCTATTTGAAATCAAATCTCTACATCAAAGTATCAAACCATTAATCTAAAAACTAAGAAATTTCATAAGATATTGTTTCTTTATTAATTGTTATATTTCTATTTTCTAGAGAATGTAATTATTCCCAAAAAAAACTCAATTGATCTAATTATCTCATATATTTATCATATTATTTGAAAGAGGCATCTTTACCACATAATTATACTTTATCAACTTATTAACAAGCTTCAAATGCCTCTTAAATTGTACGTATTGTATCTCTTGCCAAATAATGCAATTATTAATTTATTTTTATGCTTACCTTATACTACTATGTACTATAACTCTTAAGAATTTGTGACATTTTAGTGAAAACCTACTATGAAAATAATTTCCTAGATTAATCAATATTAGAACTCATCTACACTTATGATAACATATCAGCTAAAGTTTATATCTCTTTTATACATATTTATTAATGAGCTATCACATATTTAAATCCATCATAAAATTATTAATCTCCTTCTGTTGACTACTATCATTATTAACAAATACTACTTAATTTGTGTTAGACATCAACATTTGAACTTGTTCTGTTATCTTTTACAATAGCTTATCTTTATGTAGAAGCATCTTTTCATCTCCTATCTCTGCTGATATACGAGAAGAATGACTATATTGTTATTAATTCATATTTTAAACTTTTATAAATACTACAAAACTTTTTGTTATCTCTTTTTTTTTTATCCTTTACCATAGTTTACTAAACATCAATACTTAATTATTTTCAAATAGAATGATAAATTATTTTTGTCAATCTCTTATTTTATTCAATTTATGTTCAGAATTAATTTAATGTTAATAATATGCGAAAATATTTTATTCATTTTATTCAAGATACTCTATTTCCATAATTCTTTTCTTAAGCTCTCCCCAAACTTATTAAATTAATAATTTATTTTCCTGTCAAAATTCTACTAGATATTGAATTTCCTTTGATAACTTCAACGAAACTAATTTATTACTATTAATTATTTAAATCATTTTCTAGAAATACAATAATTTCAAATATCTGTTGATCTTAAATTAAAATAATTATATAAATCTCATTTATATTATATAAATTTCTTTATTTCCAATTAAAACCAATATCTTAGCATTTTTTTATGTTTTAAGATTAAGATTAAGTTTCTAATGGAATAAATCTCAAATTTACCATATCTTTTTATGATGAATTCAATAGTCTATTTTAATACTATTTCATTGTAGGTATAATTTTTATAAATACTTGTAATATCAAAATGTATCATAAATGCGATCATTTTAAAAATATTAATTTCTTTTTGAATCTATCAGAATATCTATTTTTTATTCATGATTCACTAACTCTTATCTCTTATTAGACTTTCTTAATTCTTTAATAAATAATCATATTTGCTATTTTTAATTAATTTTTATACAAATAAGACTCTTTATTTCTAATCTGAGTTTTAATTGCTGTCTTCTTTCTAAGTTTTTGAATTATATTAACTTTTTTTATACCTCTAGTAGATGTTCTTCAATTACTAAAAAATATCTTAATGGCAAGAGATTTATTATATTATAACTAAAATTTCTGATATTTGATACTCCTACCTTGAATTTATTTTTGGTCTATTCAAATAGTTGAAGAGATGATTAATATTTATCTAATAAATTCTTGAAAAAGAGACTTAAGTTTTGATCATTTAAAGTTCTATCTTACCCTCATTAAAAGAGCCCATTTTATTATAGAGAATTAATAAATTAACTAAAGTTTACATAGCGAACAATTATAAATAAGATATATATATATTAAATAATGTAATTGTCATTGATAAAGGTATGCAGTATTACAGGGTTGTTTGTGTATTTTTTGATAGGTAAGATATGTTTGATGTGTGTTTGGCCAAATAATATTGAAGAAAGTAATTATGGATATTAATTTTAGAACAATTATTCTTTATTGTATCATTGTATGTAGTTCACTTGATTACATACATAATTGTTAATGGATTTTATATGGCATGTTATGAAAGTAAAAGCAAATACATAAGTAAAGCAAAAATTGAATAAGTATAAAAGAATTATAAATTTAGAAACCATGGCCTTGGGATGGAAAAGATTCTAAAGTATGGTAAGAAATGAAGAGATTATATTGGAAAAATGTGATTATTAATCAATTCATCATGATAGGTGTGGCATATAGTGCTAGTTGTTTTAAATTGGATACTCGTTTTGATGAAACCTTCCCAACTGTATTTGAAATAAGTTGGTAAATATTAGTTTTTGGAATAATAGAAGATGTGTTGTTTTATTTTAGTCATAGATTATTACATACACCATATTTTTATGGAAAAGTTCATAAAGTACATCATATTTATAACATTACAGGTAAATTAATAATAAATATTTTGATTAGTATCATGGTCAGCTGAATTTGCTCATCCTTTTGAATATATCTTAGGCAATTTAATTCCAGTAATTGCTGGACCAATTTTATTAGGATATCAAACACATATGATCACTATTCTTGTATTTGTTGGATTAGCTACTCATAAAACATTATCAGATCATTCTGGTTTCAATTTCCCATGGGATGTGTATCAACATTTACCTTTAACAACTCATTCTGAATTCCACTCCAAACATCATAGTTTGAATACTGGAAATTACTCATCGACATTCACATATTTAGATGATCTCTTAGGAACAACTATTAATAAATGATTGTAAAATTCAATCTAATCATTAAATTAAAAACAATTTCTATTTATTTTTATTTAAACTTACCATCTTATTTTATTATTACAATTTTACAAGAAATTCATATCATACAATACATTCTTTTCATATAATTATGCACTTCTTTTTATCATCCTATTCAATATTATTAATATTAATATAAATTTATTGATCCGTTTTCATTATTTTTATTATTAATGTACAAACTCATAGCTTTGGCATTGATTGTTTCATCTGTATTTGCTGTTCAAAAGGATACCAAAACTATTTTGGCAGAAATTGACGCTGATAACTTTGGAAATTCTATTCTCTCAACTGTCCAAATGTATTTACAAGCTAGAGGAAATGCTGAAGAAATCTTAGTTTTACTCAATCAAGTCTTGGCTGGATTAGTTGATGATTAAAATAAACACGACAACGTAATTAGAGTTGACAGAGCAGCATGCACTCGTATTGTTACAGATTTAGAAAACTCTATTGCTTATCACACAGCTTAAGTTGCTGCTAATGCTTAAATGAGAGAAGATAATGAAAAAGCTTTAGCTGAAGCTGAAAATGATGTCAGATAAACTATCTAAGTAATAATCTATTTTATTTAAAGGATATTGAAAGTAATGAAAGAACATTTGCTCAAGAAGAAGCTAACAGAAATAAAGCTCATGATACTTGGGTTAGAAAGAATGGTGAACATGATGATGCTATTGCAGCTGTTGATGAAGCTACTAAATTAGTCTAACATCTTTCTTTAGGTGCCACATTTGCTGAACTTAAACCAAAATTTGAAGCTGTATAAAAGAGATTGATTGAAAATGAGAGTCACGGTGCTCTTTTCTAACCAATTGTCACTGCCTTAACAGAATTAGCCACAAAGGTTGATTAAAAGGCAATCTAAAGAATTCTTTAATTACTTTCATAACTTAGATAACAATTGGTTGAAGCAAGATCAGTTTTAGAAGTAAAGAAAATGAGATTAAATAATAATAGGACACTGAGAATAGATAAGCATAAAGATGGGTTGAATTTTCTACACATTTGAGCAATGAACACAATAGATTGGTTGATAGAAAGAATCAATTAGAATAAGCAATTTAAACATTTAAGACCAATATTGATACAGCTACTCATTTCTATGAAGTTCATCAAGTAAGAAATGAAAAAATCTATTAAATATTAGTTGGAATTAGAATAAGCCCAAGAAACCTTAGATGCTGAACATGAATGGTGTGATCTCTAAGAAAACACTTACAGCTTTTAATCTTCAGAGAGAACAAGATAATAAGAAATATTAGAGAGAATATTAGAGCATTTGACTGAAAAATTAACAGCTACATCCCAATACCTTGGTGGCAGATTCTGAGATTAATCATAAATATTAAATATTATTATGGGACAACAATAAACTTAATAACAAAGACCATTAAATGTATTAATTAAGGATGTGACTACATTTAATCTATTAACCAAGTATTCTATGTTGTAATTCAAGATCCCCAACAATTAGATCTAGTTTGGGTAAATAGTTACTTGCAGAGGTAATTGAAAGGAAAGAAAATTTAATTGATTCATTATCTTTTTTAAAAAAGTAGGACATTCTTTGTATTCGAATAATTTTAGACAATCAATATTTTTAAATTACTTAGGAGAGATTCTACTATAGCAAACAATTATTGGAAGATTTATCATCAATATTAATGTCTGATCCATCAAAAGAAGATGGTATTTGTCAAATATGTTTTGAAAAAAAGATAGATAAATTATTGCCTTGTGGACATAGTTATTGTTTAAATTGTATAGATGGATGGTTTAAACTCAAAGAATAAAATTCATGTCCAATGTGCAGAGCTCAATTAACAAAATAAAAAATACAAAATGAGTCATTTGATGTACCAAATGAAGCTGAATTGATAGATTCATTGAAAGAACAGCTTTTTATGTAATTGTGCGACTAGAAATGAATTTATTATTATTATTATTATTTTTTTTAATTATTTTTATGGATTTCGAACACTCTGATTAATTTACATAGAGAGTTGAATAAATAATTAGAAATGTAAGATTTTATAGTTAACATGAAGTTCTTACATATTCCAAAAGAAGGCAATTCTAATTGGAAAGAACTTTGTTAAAAATTAGAATAATTGTAAACTCAATTAGTGGAAGCATAATTGTATAAAATAATTAAATATAAAAAGGAGCATCCTTTAATATTTAAAATAAAGTTTAGAAGGTATTCGAGAAGAATTATAATGTGACTTAGAGGGAATTGAAATTTAAAGCTTATAAAAAAATATAACAATTAAATAAAGTCATGAAATAAATAATGAAGATGTTAAAATATTTGAATAATTAAATAAAATTGGATAGAATGTTTGTGAAATAGAAAAAGGTTTAGAGAATAAAATTGATTTGCTTAATATTAAGGTAGAGAAGATTAAAATAAATAGAGATGAATTACATGAATAATTTAAATCATTTGATGGTAAATAGAAATTATTTAATTAAAGCTCGAATGGAATCTTAATGGCAAGGTTTAGCTAATGTTTCTGATCAATTTTGGGAATTTAAAAAGTAATTTGAATAGTTTATGATGGGAATAAGTAGAAAAAAAAATTCTCTTTTTTTGGCATCTTGATTTATTTAATTTATATTATTATTAATAATGTACTATATTGATTAAATTGTTTTCTCATTAACCGATTAAGGCAGATGCAGTCTTTGATACACTAAATATTTAGAGATTTAAGATTACTATTTCCAATTTGATGGTAATTTTTAGGTTCTTCTATAATATCTGCTAAGTCTATGAATTCTGCTTTCAACCAAAATCAATCTGAATTTGCTTGTAATATCTCCTCTATTCTTTTCTAAATGTTTTCTGATTTGGACAGCCTTTTTGATAAGAGCATATAAGTCTTCAGGGATTTTAGGAGCACAACCTTGATTTTGAGTCAATAAGGGAAAGAATTACCTCTTTTCTTTAAGATTCTTAAGATCTTTTGACCAGTTAAGAATCTGGTTTATGGAATTCCTTATTGATCTCTTAAGTAAACACCAATTTATGATCCATTAAGACCTGTATTTAAATTATTCTTGTACCTTTCTTTGCCAAATTTACAATCTAATCAACGATGGACTTAGATGAGAGTGTCAACCATTTTGGAGCTTTTCTTTTGTATGGAAGGGCTGATCCAGAGATACCCTTTCCTTTTCCCTTAGCTTACATACGTCCCATAATTTATTTAAAGATTTAATTTTATTTTAAATTTTATCCATTAAATGATTAAAATCACTCATGCTTGTAGAATAACTTAGGCTTCTCAATTGAGTTGCTTTTTTTATAAAATAATTAATACATTCCATGATGCCATAAAGAGGGTTCGAAATTGTTATCATCATCTATGAAGAAGAATTTCTTATCCAATTCAGGTACATCAAACTTATTTTCCCAAATTGGTGCACCATCTAATAATTTACTGACTTCAGATTTTATGTTTCTTTCATAAATTGATGCTGCTGCAATTCTTATATTATTATTTATTCCTATTTACCTTGATCCTAAGAATATGGCACCAACTATGCCAGCTTTAAAATATATTGCTAATTTCTTGGCAACTGGAATCCTATTAACTGCTTCCAAACTTAAATAAGTTGAAATCAATGATGTTTTATTTTAGAAACTATTCACTCCATTTATTAAGTAAGACACTTTATCATGAGTTTCTGTTGGTACCAATGAAGTATGAGTCCACCAAGTCTTATTCTGAGATGAAAGACTAATATACATTTAATTTAATTTTAATATTTCATTATATACATTGTTATTTAGTAAGTATTCAAATTTAATAACACTTTATATAGATAATAATTATTATTAGATGTATAGATGAATTTCTTTAGAGAATTAGTTTCAGCATAAAAAGTTAGATTTATTAATGGACAATATAATTTGGATCTAACTTGTATTACCAATTGAGTTATTGCAATGTCATTTCCAGCTTTTGGATTTGAAATTACTTTCAGAAATAATATAGATGATGTTGTTAAATTTTTATAAGAACATCATAGTGATCAATACATGTTGTATAATTTGAGTAATAGGAAATATAATTATGAGAATTTTTGGAGAAAACAGAGTAATTAGAGTGATATTAATCTCAGATTCTTGAGTTTGCATGGGAAGATCATCATTCACCTCCAATCGATATGTTATTTGATATTTGCAAAAAAGTGAATTTATTTTTAAATGAAGATATCAATCATATTGCAATCATTCATTGTTAACAGGAAAAGGAAGAACAGGAACATTAATTTTTTGTTACTTAATATATTGTGGAAGAGCAAGTAATACAGATGAAGCTAGACTCTATAATTCCAAAAAAGATTTAATAAAGCTAAATCAGGAGTGACCTAACCATCATAAATTAGATATATAGAATATTTTAATCAAGAAGTTATTGGCAATCTCTTTTATTGGGTAAATATGATATATAAATAAATACAGCCCTTCACCTAAAATGTCTGGTAATACATGTAAACCATATTCAGATATATACACAGTTAAGAATATGTGAAAGTAAATATCGTGAATATTTTATCGAATAGAATATTTAGTGGGTTATAGGTAGCACAAATGAAGAATTATGAATACAAAGGAAATGAGTTGGTTTTATAATTGAATCTAGTGATATATGGAGATATTCTAATAAAGTTTTTCCATTGTGGAAGTTTAAGATTGAAATTTATGTTTAGATTGGCATTCAATACATGCATGATTGATGAATCTAAGATAATAATTCCAATAGAAATGTCAAATTTGTTAATAGGAGATGTAATCAGAATAAAATACTTGGAATTTAGTGTAACAGATAATGAATATATGTAGATTGAAAGGAATATCGAAAGTATAAATTGATGCAGAGCAAGATTTATTTGTTTGGAAATCCTTGAGATGATGACTTTTATGAGATGATAGCAAAATTATAAAATGGAGATTAGATAGAGTCTGATGATGATTCAGAGAATGATTAGGATAGCGATGGAGAATAGAAGGAATCTAGATAATAGCAATAGTGATTAATTAATATTAATAAAAACGGTATTTGTAGTGATAATAAAATAAATAATGAAGAGTATAACAGGAGTGCTAGTGATTTTACTATTGAGTTAAAGTGTTTTATGCAGTCCAAAGAAGATCAATACAGATTTTTTGAATTTGCTTAGTTCTAAGACAAATGTAATGAGTTCTTAGGATGCCATATAATCTGTATTGACACTCTTGGAAGATTTACAAGGGGCTAATGTTGAAGCTTAAGATAAAGCTGATCTTACATTCTAGAGATTTGAGAATGCTATCTTATAAGATATAAATGAATTCTCAGGAATTGTCAATGTTAATTCTAAGAGTGCTGCAGTTGCCTCATAAGATCTTGAAGCTGTTGAGTAATACTTTATTTAACTTAATTAAGTTTAAAGATTCAACAAACTACAGATTACTTGAATTGGAATAATAAGAGATATAAAGCAAATGAACTTAAATTAGAAAATTTAGCTGAGTATTCATATATTATTATTATATTATAGATAACGTTGTGAAGCTAATGCTTTATTTATTGACACCCTTAGAGAGTATAAAAATGCACTATCAGTACTTGATTGGGTTAGAAGTGATGCTTAAAATAAATAAACAAATCTAGTCGAAAAAAGTCATTTTGGTGATTATGCTGAGAAATTAAGCAAATATGCCAATCTTTTTGAAGAATAAGCAGTTTAAGATTTTGTTAAATTAGGAGATGATTAAACTTCATTCTCATAAACCAGTATATATAATCAATTATTTCTTAGGATAGAGAGCTAATTCTGAATAATTAATCTAATTAATGACTAAAGATGTTGTTGGAGTTATATAATAATTGATTGAGAAATTAAGAGAAACCATTAAAGGATTAGAAGAATAAGAAATATAATCTGCCAATGATTTTGCTGATTTCAAAACTAATCTATTAGCTGAATAAGAATCATTGAAATAAGAATATGATGCTAAGGCTAAATTCTTAAATTCCTTACAAAATGATAAAGAATTAGCTTCTGATATTTTAACTAAAAAGAAGGAGTTATAAGATTAAAGTATGAGAATTCTAAGTTTAACTTAAGGTAATTTATAAATTTATCTTTCTTTTTAGAAGAGTATAATTATAAAAAGAAATTGTACAATGCTGAAAAATCAAAAAGACACGAAGAAAATCAATTATTAGAAGAATCTTTATTGATTTATAGAGAGAAAATTTCTACAGTTAATGAATATCTTAAAAAACGAGTTAATGAATATGTTGGAGATTCTTTGATTGAAGAACATGCAGTCACCAAATAGTAATCTGTTTCAGCAAGAAAAGGATAATGATACAATATCAATAGATACAAATTATTATTAACTAATATATATCATATATTTATATATAAATATAAATTTCATTTTTTGTCTGGCGATTATTAAAATCTTCTCTGTGTATTTTTTTGAGTTTATTGATGCTATAATTTTGAGAGATCGACATCATATTGATAACCATCAAATAATGCTATTTACATATTTTTTTTATTACCTTAAACAGTATCTCGACGAAGCATCACTTAATTCTCAAGTAATTATTCATCATTCAATTAAGTCTCTTCAGATATCTAATTTTAAAAATCAAAATTATTGTCTACAGCCTAAATTTTTTATTATTTATATTACTCCTGGAATATAAAGAGCTGTCAGTTTCTTTTTTAATAGATCATCCCATGGAAATCCTTTAAGCCAAGGATGGTGAAGAATTTCTTCAATTCCATTGGCTCCTAATCTTCTTTCTGGTTTACGTTAAATTAACTGAATAAGTTACTATTAATACTGTATTAACAAAATCCATAGCATTTTCACTCCAATAATTAGGCATTTCTTCTCTTCTAACTTAAACTTATTTAGCTAAGATTTATTCACGAATGTCTTATCTAGTTCTACCATTATATGGTCTACGTCCAAGCATTAATTCATATGTAATGACTCCTAAAGCATAGTAATCTGCAACAATTGAATGATCCATTCTACACATGACTTCAGGTGCCATATAACCAGGAGTACCAGAAGTATCTCCAGCATTATTACCTTTATTTATACGTGCAATTCCAAGATCAGTTAATCTCATATATCCATCTTCTTCAAGTACTAGATTTTCTGGTTTTAGATCTCTATGAATAATTCCATGTTAATGTAAGTATGTTAGAGAGAGTAAAATACAAGCAACAAAGAACTCTGATAATTATAATAAAGAATGATACTTGTTTATGCTTCGCTAAATCGTCTAATTTTTCCTAAATGAAATCTTAAATCACCACCTGTTAAAAGATCTATGATTAGAAATAGGTTTTCTCTATCTTAGAATGCATATGACATATTCACAAGAAAAGGATGATGTAAATGTTCTAACAAATATTTCTCATTTAGTACAGAATTTACACTACGTTTTTATATAATTTTAGCTTTCGACATTTCTTTTAAAGCATACATTTTTTTATTTTTTTTCATTTCTACTTTCCACACTCTTCCAAATCCTCCTTTTCCAATAACATATAAAAATTTAAAATGTTAACGTCCTACAATTTCAGGAGGAATAGTTTCAATTTATTATGCCACTAATTATGTTTTATCATTTAATTCAGATTTACGTCCATGAGATATTTTTTCTTTTTTAGGAGAATTAGGAGTTGATTCAGATATTGAGTTTAATATTTATTCAGATCGAGATTATGAATTGATTGAATTAACTGAATTAGCAGAGTTGTATTTACTAGCTAATTTCAATTTAAATGACATCTATGTATTACTCAACATACTTTTACTCTCTACTTTTTTTGGTACTACTACCTTACTTTTTAATTGATAACTATGTTCATACACTTAGGAGTTGCTAATACTACTTTTATGATATATGATATTATCTGCATATTATGGTTTCTTTGCTGATGGTTGACGACTAATCAATAATTAACTTTATTTCTCTCTATTAGGTGATTAATGAGCTGATATTGAACTACCAACCTTTATATCTCTTTTTGAATCTTATTATTATCTAATCATTGGACTCTAATTCACTTTCTTACGAGTACATATTGCACAATGTTTTTAATTACATTAACATTCCCAAGTTCCAGATTGCTTTCTAACTGCTGCTTTTATTGGCTCACCTTTAAAATGAATCTTAGAATTCATTTATTGTTTTATCAGTAAGTCCCTTAGATTTTTTGCAGTAGATTGTTACATATATTTATTTATTTCGTTAATTATTTTTTTTTTTTACATAGAACTACTATTTTTTTTATTTCATATCCTTATTTTTTTTTATTCTCATCCATATTTTATCCTAATTTTATTATCTATATCCATTTAATCTCAATATTATTTTTACTAATTATTATTTTATTATGGGTTTACATAAATCTAAAGTCATCAAAAAAATTAAAATGGATATGCAATCATAAGCTCTTAAAAAAGCTCCAATTACTTAATTAAAAGTTTCTATCAAGAAAACTGAAAAAAAATCAGATGCACTTAAAAGTACCAATTCTTAATTTAGAAAACATTAATTTATTACAGAAAAGAAGGTGTAATTAGATTAATCTAAAATTCAATCTATTATTGATTCACTTAATAAATACTATTACTCTAATAATGATGGTGATCGCAAAATTTATTTAATAGCTGAATTACAAAAAATACCAGAATTAATTGAAACACCAATTATATAAATGTAATCTATTTCTCTAATTAGTCCTCTCAAAGAAGCTATACATTCCAAAATTGGATTTGTTGTACATGGTGATATTCTAGAAGAATTCTAAAAAAAATATCCATAATATAATGTTATGAGTTAAAATTTATATTTAGCTGGAAAATCCTTCCCTAATCTTGATTTGATTCTTATTGATTATACACTCTATAATAAGATAATTGATAAGAAACCTAGCAAGTAATATAAAACCTATTAAATTTTAGGAAAATATTCCCATTTCATCCATCTAAAGTACCTTTTGATTATAAGAAACATTATAATATTCAAGAATATTCAGAATACATTCAACATTTGATTGGAAGTACCTTCAGTGTAATGAGAAATCAAGCCAAATAAATTATTCCGATTGGGAAAGTTGGTCAAAGTGGAACTATTGATAATGTTTTGAAAGGAGCAATTGATTTTATTGCTAAATTACTAACACAATGTAAAGGGAATAGTATAGAACATTTATATTTAAAAACTAACAAATCAATTGAGTTATTAATATATTGAAAATTTAAATAAATTAATATAAATGTATTAAAATAAGTATTAATACTAATTTGTACATGTAATAATGTTAATCATAACTCAATTAATATTAAGCTTAGTTCTTCTCCAATGTCTTCTCTTTGAATTATATCTAAAAATTGCAATATCAAATACCTGATTGTATTATCAGTTCTATATCTGAACCAATTTGGTAATGGTCTATTTTATTTATTGGCTTTAATTAATCTTTTCTTCATTCTCAAGGATTTATGAGCTCCCTATTAAACAATAAGTGTAATGCTATTACCATTTTTAAATCTTTTTTTTAATTTATTTAATATATAAATCAAATATTCATTAATTCTCAGTCAACAATGATACTAATTTTTCATATGATGAACAAGGTCCTTATTATTTAACAAATTCTAATATCCAATCATAAGAATATTAATTAAAAACTTCTGATAATCTCTTGGCTTTAACAATCATTTCATTTTCATTATTAGATGATCCTAATAGATTATAAAATCTAAGACGCTCATCAATTATTTATACGAGAATTTATTTTAATTTCTCATCCTATCTATAATCATTTACCTATTTTTATGTTGTTCTAGTATTAAATAATTTAATTTACTTGTTAATATTAGATTTATCTAAATAGTTTGATTTATCTAGAATCATTTAACTTTGATTAAGTAAATCTATTGAATTTCTAAGTTGATTTTGATCATTTTAATTCTCTAAAACTAGTAATTTAATTGTTGGCCATCCCATTTAATTGTACATCTTCTTTAAATAGTTTAAAGCTAATTCACAAGTAATCTCTTCAGCTCCATTAGGATCAGCTAAGAATATTTTAAATATCTACAAGGTTTGATGATAGCATATAAATAAACTTTTTTTATCTAAGGATATAAGCTCATTATGGCCTCAACAATTTCTTAATATGATTTAATCTTTGGTGGTAATTTGTGCACTTTTCTTTGATACACGATTTTGATATTTAACATTTTCTTTTATTATTTTTATAAATATTAGTGTCATTAGTATTCTCTAATTTTATATTACAATAGAATTTATTGGAAATTTTATTGTAATTCACAATAACAATTATTTAATATGTTGTTATATTTATGATTTTTTCAAATAGATAATAGTATTGTAGATATATCAAAAAATAATTATCAATTAAAAATTAAATAAAAACCATCTAAATTCTTTGTACATATACATAATCTAAATAATCTGATTTCACATTGTGTAGAACTACTAGTTATGAGTCTATTCAATTATTCAAAAAATTTACAATGAGAAGAGTTTCAATAAAAGAAAATATTAATAATACATTAGAAGTAAAGAATTCAATAAGAAATTAAGAAATATTTGCAATTAGTAATTTATTAAATAATTCTAATCATATTTTACATATAAGTTCTACGACTTAAATTTTAATAGATGCATTACAAATTAAGGTGTGGAAATCTCAAACTAATCTCTGATATGAATATTGTCAAACAAAAAGTATATTTAATTAACATAATTGTATTGCTCAAATAAAATAAATATGAATTCATATCAGCAAAGTTTCTTGCTTTCTTTTGGTTAAAGAATTATCAATCCAAATTTTAAAAGTCTCTTAGAATAAAATTAATAAAACTAATTAAAAATTAATTTTCTATTTCTTTTTTTATCTATCTTAGTAGGAAGAGTGAAAAAAAGAAAGTTATTTGAATTATTCAATATATTTTTAAATGGTTCTTATTTAGTAAGAATCAATTGAAAAATAATGATTCAATCTATATTTTTGATAAATCTGTTTTTGTTTTTTATTTTTTACTTATTTTTATTATCATAGTTAAAGATTTCTAAATTATATTGTATCTGGAATTAGTGATTAATTATTATGAATTCATTTTGTTTAAGTAATAATTAAATTATTAAAAATTAGAATATGCAATAATAATCTATTCATTAATAAAAAATAGTGGAATATACAAATTAAGGTATTATTATATTGTGATTTTAGGCAATTATGTTGATTTGGAGGATTATATACGTGTAAATTAATAATCATAAATTAATTTTTCATAAGCTTTAGTTGAATGTATTTAATATACAAGAGATAGTGAAGATCATTTATAATGCATTCAATAAATATTAAAGTAAATGTTATTTAAAAATATAAGATAATAAATTGATTTTAATTATAAAGATAATAATGGGAATACTGCTTTGATATAAGCAGCAAGAAGTGGTAAAATTAGCATATTAAATGAAATCATAAAATACAAAGAGAAATTTTTAAATAATAAATAATTTAAAATTGCACTTGATATTGCAATATAATCTGAATAAGATAATTGGGATATTGTGGAAACATTGCTTCAAGTAACTTAACTTGAAAAGCCTTAACATTTAATTAAATCTTTAAATAAAGGAAATTTCAAAACTGCTTAAAAGATAATAGAATAATATGGTGCTTCTGGATAAGATGAAAATGGTGATACAGCTTTACATGTAGCATCTCGTTTAGGAAATTTATAAATAATAAAAAGTATTTGTTAAAAAGAAACTCTATTTAAAAAAAAAAATTAACAAAATAAAACACCTTTTGATGTTGCTTGTAATTAAGAAACTAAAATTTTGATTCAATAAGAAGAAGGACTACAATTCCATAAATCTCCAAATAGAAAAAGAAAGCAAGAAGATTTAATAGAAAATAATTAGAATTCATAAAAATCAACTAATTATGAAGAATTTAATGAAATATTTTAGAAAATATCAAAAGTATTTAATAATTAAGGAACTTAAACTGAAAATAAAGAAAAGAAAGACTCAGAATCATAAATTCCAGAACACAATTATCTCAATTAACCATTTTATGATTAATTAATATCTGATACACTTGTTACTCTTCATTAACATAAAACTCTTTTTGATGATATTATTAAGTATGTTTATAATATATTTAGGTAATTATCATTTGAAATCAATACATTCTCTTAAGAATTGAATAAATAATTAGAAGAATAAAGACCTATCATTTATAAAATAGTATAAATTGTTGATGAAGTATAAACTTTTACTCATTTATTTATTAGATTGTTTAATCAGTTTATACTAAATCTCGTGTTTTCTTATATGGTTCTTGTTAAACTGGTCTAAATTTATTAGATTCTGATATTGACATAGTTATTGAAACTAATGAATAAGAGAGAATTTCTCTCTATAAAATTGCTGAATAATTCAAAGTATCATAATATATAATTTTAGATACAAGGATTTATTAATGATGTGAAAGTTATTGAAAATGCTAAAAAACCTGTTTTAAAAATGTAATTCTCTTAAGAATTTTAAAATAAACATATTGATATTACAATTAGCAAAAATGATCATTCTGGTAGAAAGACTTCTAATTCTATGATTGAATTTTAAAAAGAATTTAAATAGTTTAAAAGTCTTGCTGTAATTTTAAAGTTTTACTTTAAATCTATTAATCTATTAAATGCTTATTAAGTATCTCATATTTATGTTATAAGGGTGGTTTAAATAGTTATTGTATTCTCACAATGATTTTAGCTTTACTATAAATTAAACGTGTACGTGAAACTGATAATGAAGAAATTGGTAAGACCTTATTAGATTTCTTCGAACTTTATAGTTAAGATATAGATTATTTTGATAAAATTATTAATATTGTTCCTTCCTAATCTGAAAATATGTAAGTAGATGAACCTAATATTTACTAATAACAATTTCCATAATTGTAAAGATTTATCTTATTTTTAGTGATCAAGGATAATAAGAATTAGTTATATTAGATTTACATAATAAAGGCAATAATATTGCTAGTAGTACTTTTAAAATTAAACACATTAAAGTAACATTTTATAATTTCTATATAAGAATGCTTTATCACTTGGGTATTCTGCCATATTGAATTCTCGTAAATGCGAACAACCATGCTATTTCTCAAGATACAATTAATCTGTTTGTTGTATTTTAAAATAAATCATTTAATAATCAAAGAATCATCATTTAACAGGATCTTATAAATCAAAACAGCCATTTTATTACTTTAATTTTAATAATACATATTGACCCAAAAATAAATGTGTTATGAAGTATTCTAATATCATGAATTTCTATATGAATTTACAAAACATTATATTATTATGTTTATCTCAAATTCAATAAAAGAAGAATATAAAAAAGTTTTCTGAAATTCTTTACTTCATAAAGTTGAATATAAAATTGAAATTTAACATTATTAAATAGAATTGTAAATATTTTATTATACTAATTAAATGTTGCAAATATAAAGTTGTTCTTTTTATAATTAAAAAGAATAATCATTTCATTTTATCCAATTAGTTTAAATATTTAATATGTTCTCTCTCTAGTCTAGCTATTTCATCATCAAAAGGATCCTTATTGATTCCTTAATTATTTATAGGTTGATTAGAAATAGCCTTCATAGTGGTATCATCCTTTTTTTTGGCAACAGGTTTAGGTATATTTCTGGCAAATTCGATGGCTTTTTGTCTTTATTTATTTAATATATTTAAAATAATACCTTGCATTAATTTCAGGAGGTTTAGTTTCTTTATTTTTGGTTGTTACAATATTAGTTGAATTAAATTGCCTAACTTATTCTGCAAATTCTTATCTCTTTAGTACCTTTTCTTTTTCTTTTGTCCATTCATCTCCACTAACATTAGGTCCTAAACCTCCTAATTTCGCATTTGCAGTTTTTTTCATAATTTCATAATCTTTAATGGTGTATGGTTTGTACCGTTATGAATTATCTATTGATTGCTATTATTATTTTGCTGATTGTGATCTTTATTCTATTTTTTTTGGAGGCTCTGTGACTGTTTATCTAATTTAGTAATTAGTTGAAGGTTGAAAATATTATTATTGACTCAAATATTATAGAGAATCTTGAATCTATTACTCTGGTATATAAGGGTTATGTTAATATAAAGTTTAATGATGTTATTAATGATTGTATTGAATTTGAGTTAAAACAGGTTAAATATTAACTTATTATTACAAAGGTTGTTGAATTTGAGGACATCTATTTTAATCTAAAATAAGAGATATTATACATTCAAAATCTTTTTTGATTGGTTATTAACAAGTGTTTAGAACTGATTCTAAACCATTTCTACCCATTACTGTTGTTTTACCCTTAAACCTTTCTTAGAAAGTGGACATTATAAACTGAATTATAATATTATGATTAATAATTAATCTTCTCTAAAAAAATTGTTATTTTTTCTTTTATTGAATTTATTATTATTTTTATCATTTTAAAAAGGATACTTTAATTAGATTTTACATTCTACAATCTCTAATTTAGAATCAATATTTAAAGAGAGTTTATGAAATGTATATTTATAATAACAACACATTAACATTAACCTTTATAAGTTTATAATAGTTAAAAAGACTTATCAATTATAGTCCCTTAATAGAATATAATTCATAACATATTTAAAACAAAAAGTTGAATTAATGTCTTTTATTTATTTTCTTTTTTTACCTCATAATATGCCAAAGCATAATATAAAATCTGGAAGGCCTAATAAAAATGATATTAATGATATGGTATATAAGGATGAAGGATATATTGCTACAAATGAATTTGCTCTGTAATTATATTAGTTGATTTCTGAAATGTCTAATTATAAAATACTCACTATTACAGGACCATCAAAATAAAAAAATGCGAAAAAAAATGTAAAGAATAGAAAGGAGATTGAAAAAAAATAGGGAATTATTAGAAAAAAATTAGATATTAAAGAAGAGAAAGTATTTCTTTTAAGAAATCAAGAAGATTAACCAAGAAAATATAGAATAATAGATGGGAAAATGGTTGATAATGATGAAATCATTTATATTGATGATCTGTTAAAATATGTTCAAGAGGATCATTTTATGAAAAGTATTAAAATGGTTTTTAAAGAATTGAATGAAGAAACATAATATTTTTTAAAAGAACTAGTAAAAATATTTTCTAAAACTGATAAGTCATTAGGTTAATTTTAAGAATAATTTTTTCAATTATTTGAATCATCACCTAGTTCTTAATATAAAGAAATAAAATAATGGAATGAACTATTTGAAATATCATTCGATGAAAAGCTCTTTTTGATGTAAAATGAAATTGATTTGTTTAAGAAAAGATTTTAACTGAAAATAAATGAAGAAGCTAGTTAAAAAAAGGTAGAATAAAAAAGAATTGATATTTTTAAAAATTAGTAATCAAATATCGATTAATACATATGTATTAAATAGCCTAATAGACCTTTAAAACTTTTTATTAAAAAAATTTATCAGTTATTCCATAAATTTTGGATTTTAGATGAAATTTAATGATGAATATTATATTATTTTAATTATAAAAAAATAATTTATGCTTACTTAAACTCAAAAATCTTATATCAAACAATTAAAGGATATAACATAGCGTTCTGACCTCATGGTAATTTCAATTTTAATATATTTTTAATGGGATATAGAAAAATCAACAGACTTTATAATAAATGCAGGAGAATTTTTAAGTGAAGATCTAATTCCAGAAAGTAGAAGGCAAATAGCTGAAAAATTATTATAATCAGAATTATAAGAATAAGATAAAATTAAACCTATAAATACAAACTAAATAATAACAGATGTAAAATAAATTAAAGACACCAATTCTAATAAAGAAACTATAAATGTTTAAAATAAAAAGATTGATTAAATCAAAGAAAACTTATCAATAATAGAAAATATAGAATGGGAAACTAAATCAATACACTAAGATAAATAATTAATTATACAGTGTGTTTAAAAATAAAATTAGAATGATTAATTAGAATTTAGAAAACTTTAATCATTTGCAGGAATAAAGACATGTGAATCATCCGGCTCTTTTAATTGTATATATCAATTATTTTTTTAATGTCCTGAAATAGTCGAAGCAATCTTTAGTATGGATATTTAAAATAAAGAAGATTTAAATGTAAAAATGTTTAATATAATTAGAGCAATTTTTAAAATCTATTATAATAATTGTTTGCTTCTTTAATTCTAACTAATGATAAATCTGTAAACAATTCTGAGTTATATAATGTTGCAAGTAAACTAAACAAATCATAAAATTATGTTGGTTAAATAAATTTTGCTAAACAATTTGAAATTTAAATCAACATATTAAAATAATTTTTTTAAGATACTAAGTAAGAAAGTGTTTCAATAATTGTAAATTAATTTTAAACATTTTAAAGTCATCCATTCTTAAAATTAGAATAAGAATATAGATTGTTTTAATTATCTTTGCTAAAAGAAATGAATAATTTAACATAAATTGGATAATAATAAAATTAAAAATAATGTTGGGTTTTTGAAATCAGTAGAAAATATGACTAGGATAATTATAATGAGAATAATCTTGACTATTGGTTTCCTAAAAAATTTGATTTAGAATTTTTACTTTAGAAAGATAGATTAGATTAAATCTTAAAGATTTTAGAGGAAAAGACAAAAGAGGAAATTATAAAAGAAATAAAAAAATGTATGAATATTTATCAATAAAAAAGATTAATAAATAATAAATGCTTTTCATATAGTAAAATCAGTTTTAAGTGAATAAGATTTTGTTTAAAAAGAAACAATAGATTCTTTGTATAGAGAATATGAAAATCTTGAGAAAAAGCTATATGAATATATTCCGTTTAATATGGAGTAATTAGAAATGAATAGTTAAAATAAAAGACATAGTTATTGTATTTAAGCAACAGTAATAGAATAAAAGGGAGAGAATTACCATTTGTTTTACTTATATATAAAAAACTTTAGTTAGAATAAATGGTTTAGAATAAATGATTGTTAGGTTTAAAGTGTGAGTGAAGATTTAGTATTAAATGATACTCGTAAGTATGGATGTTTTTTAGTTTATGTTAAGGAAGACTAAATATAAAAATTAGGAGAATATTAAAGTATATTATCAGAGATTGCTAGCAATATATTAATGAATTAAGATGAACAGATATAAAATTATCCTTTAATATAAAAGTTAAAAAAGTCAAATGTTCGACTATATGAGAAGATTTTAAAGTTAAATTAATAAAATGAAGCTAAGCTCGATGAAGAATTGAACGATGAGTTTGATTAATGAATTAATAATAATAAATAATTTATATAATGTCAGAAATACCTGATCATATATTAACTCTCTATAAAGAAATGGGATTTGGAGAGTTTCACATAAGGCAATGCTGGGTAATTTCCAATTGCAATGATGGCTAGTAGTTTTAGGCAAATTTATTTGGGGAGAATCATAATTCTCAACCTCCTCCATAGCCTTAACATAAAATTCCACAACCTCCTTCACTTCCTCCACCTCAACAAGTATATATCTATTATTAAAATAATAAAGCAGGGTGAGAACTAACAATAATTTTTTGCTAGATTGTTTGGATCAATTCCTTATTTTAAAGCTTAATTACGAAAGAAAGATCAAATAGTTGGTATACAAAATATTGGAAATACATGTACTATTAATTCAATGTTATAACTTTTCCATTCGATTCCTTAAATATATAATTTGTTAATTGAATGTGACAATACATCCACAAATGTACAAAACTTATACTAAATTAGTGTTATGGAAAATTTGTATATGAAATATAGACCTTATTTACAGAACTGACAGCATCAAATTTGGAATATATTTATCCAAAAACTGCTGTAAAAAGTCTAAGTTTTGGGTCAGATGACAAAGAATATATTGGAGTTCAATAAGATATTGTCGAAATATTTAATTTAATATTAACTAAGTTTGATTAATGCATTAGAAGATTACATTAAAAACATTTAATGGAATCAATTAAATATAAAGTAGAATTGTTTGGCCATTAGGAATTAAATCAACTTTTTTAAATCATTTTTGTAAATGAAACTGGAAAAAATGAATATCATGCATATTTAAATGCTACATTGAAACATTAAAACACTACAAAATTTTTATTAAGCGAATTTAAAAATAAAATAATACATTTGCCAAAATTCTTAAGAATTTCAGTTAATAGAATTTAATTTTAAAAAAGTAAAAAATTTTGTTTCAATTTTAGATAATTCATTTAAATCAAAGGAAATATTTTTGATTGATGAAGATCTGAATTTAGATATGTGTCTGAAGAATAATTAAAATTAAAATTAATAAGAAGTTGATAAATTATAAAATACAGTCAATTAGTTATAAAATGAGATTAATAAACAAGCAAAAAGACTCGATAGTCTTAGATATGTCATTAACTTGTATGAAAAGGAAAATATTTTTATTGATTTGATAAATATATTAAAAATAAAATAGAAACAACTAGAATAATAATTACTCTAGTTAGAAAGTAAGTGTTCGTAGTAAAAATAAAAAATTAATAATTTATAAAATTAAAATAGATATCAATATAAAATTCATTCAATAGTAATTCATTTTGGATCAGCTTATGAAGGACATAATTATATTTATATATACAATTTTCATTTTGGAAAATGGATGATATTTAATGATAATACTGTATAATTTGTGAATAAGTAGGAAGTGGAAAAAGATTCAAAAATAAATGCTCAAGTAGTAATATATGTAGATTCTTAAGTGATACCTAAATTAATTGAACATTATAAATACATATAAACAGTTGGAAATATAATAGTGTCTAATCCAGATAAAAACTTAAAATAAATAGAAGAACTAAACAAAATACCATAAAATATACTTGAATTACTGACGGAAAAAAATAAAAGAAATTATTAGAGCTAGCTAAAATAATTTTAATGATTAAATGATGACTGATTAATTAAATATCAAATTATATTGATAAAATTTATATAAACTAAAGATATATTTTTTGTTTAAGAATGTTGTAATAATTTTGAAATGAAAGTGATAAATAATTTAGTTGAGGATAAATTTAAATATATATATATAGGAATAGAGTAAAATGATTGAAAGTTTTTATAAATTAATAATAATATAGTAATAAGGTTCTAAGATAAGTTAGGCAAGTAGTGTCAAATAATAAACTGATTAATACTCTATTATTGAAATAGAAGTGTCCTTCAGAATATAGTCCAGGAGTATCACTAAGATAGATTAGTTTAAAGAGAGGTTTATAATATTGCAAGAATACATCAATAGATTTATCTAAATTGACTAATTTAATGAAATAATAGAAAGTGAAATAGATAGGTGAGGGATAGAAAGATTAAATGAATTAATTGACAGTAAAAGCAAGAGCAATAGCAATGTCTGCAAAAATACCATAAGGGCTAATTCATATAAGAAATGATTCAGCTTAGGTTAGAAAAGATAACAAAGAAGGTAGAGGAGTGTTAAGTCGAAAGATTTCAGATTTAAAATAAATAGTTAAAGGATTATTTACATTTGAATATGTGATAGGGATAGGAGGATTTTGGAAAGGTAGTGAAAAGAGTTAATTAATAATATGCAATGAAAGAGATGTCAAAAGCTGTAGTTGATAATAAAGAAGAGTGTACATTCAGTGATGAATGAACGTATGTTATTAAGTTAACTTAAACATACATTTTTGATCAATATGTATTATCCATTTGAGGATCGAGAAAACTTATACTTAGTAATGGATTACATGTGTGGAGGAGATTTGCGATTTCATATTGGAAGAATGAGAAGATTTTAATGAGGAACAGACTAGTAATAGTATTCGATGATAATAAGAGTTTTTTGTGGCTTCTATTTTTATAGGTTTAGAGTATTTACACACTAACAACATTATACATAGAGACATTAAACCAGAGAATCTGGTACTTGATGAAAAGGGTCTTGTACACATAACTGATTTAGGTATTGCTCGTGTAATGAAACCTGAAAATTCAAGTGATACAAGAGGTTTTTCTGGATATACGGGTATATATAATAATATTTAATAAGTAATCAGCTCCTGTAGGGATGTGTAGATAGAATCATACATTTGCAGTTGATTATTATGCTTTAGGGGTGATTGCCTATGAGTTTATGTTAGGCAGAGTATAATATGACATTTTATAAAATAGAGACCATATTTTGGTAGATCTAGATAAGAAATATGTGATTAGATTCTTGCTAGATAAGTTTAAATTAAAACAAGTGAAGTACCTCCAAATTGGAGTGTAGAATCTGTTGATTTTGTAAATTGTTTGTTATAACGGAAACCATCAAATCGATTTGGATATAATGGTGGGCATGAAATTAAATTACATTCTTGGTTTAAGAATTTCCCATGGTCTAAATTATAGAATAGATAATTCTCAGCACCATTCCTTCCAAATCCAAGTGATGATAATTTTGATTAACGTTAAATTGTAATTGAGGGTGAAGAAAATATTGAATTGATTACTTAGAATATGTAATTGTTAAGAGATACAAATGTATAACAATAGTTTGTTGGTTATGAATATCAAACAAGTGATCCTAATGAGAAACTCTTTATCTTTGATTAATTTAAATAATGAAGTTATCACTAACATTATTTACACTTCTAATATCTATATATTGTGCTGTACATAGAGAATATTATGATATTCTTGGAGTATCTCCTAATGCTTCTGTTTAAGACATCAAAAAGGCCTATCGTAAACTATCACAATAATACCATCCAGATAGAAATTAAGGTGATCCTAATGCGAATGAAAAATTCTCGAAAATCAACGTGGGTAATATTATATCATCATTTTATTTTAGCATATGAGGTACTCTCTGATCCAGAATAAAGAAAAAAATATGATAAAGGAGGAGTTGATGGTCTAAATAGTTAAGGAATGTAACATCATGATCCATTTGATATATTTGGATCATTTTTCGGAAGAGAATAATAGGGAGAACGTAAAGGACCTGAATTGAAAGTTAAAGTGAGAGTCACTTTAGAAGACATTTATAATGGCAAAGAGATACCTATATATTTAACTAAATAAATATTATGCCCTCATTGTAGAGGATCTGGAGCTGATGATCCTGATCTTGTAGAAACTTGTCCTACTTGTAAAGGTGTTGGAAGTGTTTAAAAAAGATAATAAGTTGGTTTTGGATGTATACTCTATTCATTTACAATATAGTCTTTTAAACATTTTAGGCCACGTGTGAAAGATGTTTTGGTACAGGTAAAATTATTAAAAAAAAATGTCATCTTTGTAAAGGAGATAAAGTAATTCAATATTATTTATTTCTTAGATTATTCCAGGTGCTGATAATATTAGTTTATATATAGAAAAAGGAATTCAGGATAAATAAACTATTGTAATCATTTATTAATATTCTAGAAATATGAAAATATGGCTGATGAACGTAATGATTCAGGCACCTCTGATCTAGTCTTTTAAATTGAATAAATTCCTCATTCATTCTTTTAAAGATAAGGAAACAATTTATTTTGCAAAGTCGAAATTTCATTAAAGGAAGCACTCCTTGGATTCAAAAAGAAAATCAAACATCTTGATAATCATTTTGTGAGAATTGATAAAGAGGGTATCACTAAGCCTGGAGAAATACAAATTATAAAAGGGGAAGGAATGCCATAACATGAATTTTCATCTTAGCATGGAGATTTGTATGTAGAATACAAGGTTTTTATTCCTAATTTTAATGGAGAATAAATTAGATGTAAATATATATATTTAAAACATAGAATGGTAAAAATTCTTTTCATGAATATAATATATATGTATCATATAAATTTTTTGTGTTTATATGTGTATTCATAGTATATATCCTTAAAATTATATTTAATCAATTAGATTATAATTCGAAGTTAACTTCAATATGTTTCTATATATATATATATGTGAGGCATACACCTTGAAATTTTAAGATGGATAGATGATACTCTATAAGTAGATAGAAAGGAGTGTATAATCGAATTCTTAAATGAAAAAAAACTGTAAATTTTCTTTGATTTGAAATGAAATTCCTAAATGTTAATGTGTCAATAAATTAATATGTTTTAGATATTAATCAATATATAGATATTCCTATGATTGATGTTAATGGTATTCTCTTCAATAATTCTAAAGGAGTTTACAAATATAGCAAATAATATAGTTGCTAAATTATTTATCCTTAGTCATCTTGAGTTAATTTTCTTTTTTTGGAAAATGCAATTTACCAAGGATAAAATTTGAATAGAAAAAAAGGAAAGCATGGAGAATGGAGCAATTTGAATTTTTAATAGAAATAATTTTTTTGCCTAATAAATTTGTTTTATGTGAGTTAAATGCGTTATTTAAAAGTAATAAAGTGTAATCAATTAAAATGGAAATAATGCATAAGATGATAAATATAATAGTGTCAATAATTTGAAAATTATATAATATTTTATAAATATGGGATGCGTAATTACATCTGAGAAAGTCAACCAATAAAAAACTATGATGTTAGAATCTACATTTAATAAAGAACAGCGAGAAAAAGATCATAGGATTTAAGCACATGCTGTTTTAGATGAGTATCGTCAGACCAAAACAATAAGAAAGTAAATCAAGTTGCAATAAGATGTCAAGGATGCCTTGTAAGAATAACTTATAAGAAATAAAACAGTCACACCTCAAAAGTCTTCAATAGTCAATTGAATTTATATATATATATTTTCATTCATTTAATTAAGTAACCCCTTACTGTTTCATACCAATAATGAGTCAAACTTTCTAGTTTGTTTTAGACACAATCTTTTATTTAGCTAAAGAGTGTTTTTTAATCATCTGGATCCAAAGCAATACGATATTTACGAATCCGATGTTATAATGCTTCTTTTATTGACATTCTTTAATCATCCTCTGTCAAACATTTATTGATAAAATCATTAACTACTAGATCCTCTTCTTCTTAAATATCTCTTCGTTTATTTTCCCTAAATTTTTATATAATAAACTTTACAATAAACATTCTAATGATTCGAAAGGATGAATTTTATAAAATAATTAGTGTAAAATTATTCCCAAAGCCCAAACATCTTATTTATCACTATAAATTGTTCGTTTATTACATTTATGAACTTCTGGTGCCATGGTTTCTGGAGTTCCACATTTTACTGATTCAGTTCCCAATCCATTATCTATCAAATTCTTAGCAAATCCAAAATCAATTATCTTTATCTATTTACATCACTATTATCATTACTTATTTCTTTTTCAATAATATATTGTCCAATTTCAAATCTCTATGTATTATGTTATGTTTCTCCAATTCTTCCAAACCATCTAAAATTTGCTAAAAATACTATATTGCCTCCTTCCTATTAAATTCTTAATATCGCTTGCTTAAAGACTCTCAAATTTAAGATAGTTATCTACCATCACATAATTCCATTATTATATAATGTTTATCTTCAATTTTTACATCATCGTAAATCCTTGCTATATTCTTAGATTTTAAACTTTTCTACAATTCTATTTCCTAATCTACACGATCATTCCCAACCATTACTCTTATTGCCACCTTCTTATTCTTATTCTAATACTAAATCATTAAATCTGCTAAATACTTTCCAACCTGCATATACTTAACAATAAGATCCCTTTCCTAACAAATTATCAGAATTATAGCAATAATCTCCTATTGTTATTATTACACCTGATTCTTAGATTTCTCTTTTTTATTTAAAACATCGTTCAAGATCATTCCTTCTTGTTTCAATTCTAAATTTCTCTCTCTTCTTTTACATCTACTTCAAATATTAATATATAAATTAAATATTAATCTCATTCATATATAGTAATAAATTTTTCTTACTTTGGCTATCTCTCCTCAATCAAAGTCAATATAATTATCCTATATATTACGTATAAATATATCATTGAAAATGTTAAATATGATGAATTATCAATAATTATGATCAATTATCTTAAAATTTAATACCAACCTAAATAAATAAATTTAAATGGATTTAGAAGACAACGACTTCTTGGCAGATGGTGATAATCGTAATGTTAGATCTAGGACTAGGAACAATAATAATAAGAGAAACAATAAGGTAGAGACATTATAAAGAGATTAATAAAAATAAAAAAGACAGGAATAATAACATGAAGATGAAGAATGGTCCGATGAAAATGAGAAGAAAAATAATGCCAAGAGGTTGTAATAATAGGAAAAGAAGTTAAAACATGTCTAAAAGCAATTAGATTACAAAAAAGATGAGGAAGAAATGTAACCAAAATTAAAGGGAAAAGAAAAAAGATAGGCTCATGTACACGATCTATGATCATTATTTTAATAATATCAATTCCTTAATTTACTTTACAATGCCCTAAACCGCCAGACCATGTTCTTCTTGTTCTATTAGTTGCTATAGAATAGAATTCTTAAACATGTCTTTAATTTTTATTGAATCAGATTCAAGTAGATAATACAGAATCTGTAGCAAATGTTTTAAGTTCAACTGACTTTAATCCTTTTAAATTAGGAGTTCTAACAGTTATTTCCTAAATAAGAGACTAAGTCCAAATTCTTTTGCTAATACTTTTACTAAAGTGGGGTACATTGGAACTGTATTATTTTTAAAATATGCAACAAGAATGTCAATATTTTTACTCAGAGGAATTCTTTAAGTTTAATCAAGTTCTATTAATTTTACAATAGTATCAAGTAACTTAGTAATATTTAAATTTGTTGTTAATAAGCCAACATAAATGCTAATACCTCCATTTTCTTATAGTTTTTATTTACATCTTTCTGAAGAAGTAGCTAGAGAACAAAGTATACTAATAGCTGCCTTTTTCATTGAGATTTAGTTTTCTTATTCACTTGGTAATTTAAATAATTCTAACAATAAGGGAACACCTTCATAAAGACATAATTCTTCTTATTTATCATGATTGAGTTTTGTAAGATAAAATATAATTCTAAGAATATCTGCAATCATAGGTCCTTGAGTTGGTAAATCCTTTTTTAATAAAGTTAAGGCCCTAGGTATAATAGCAAATCCATCTAAATGTGGTTAAAGATGAGGTTCAGTACAGAGATACCTAAATATTTTGATGGTTTTTAGTAATGATTATTCTTAATTTTAATTAAGGAAAGTGGCTAATCTGGTTATAACTTCTTTTTCGCAAAGAGCTTATTTAACTATTTTATCATCACATTTAGCCAGAATGACTAAGATATTCAAAGATTTAATCATTAAATTAAGATCTATATTTTAAACTTACTCAGCTATAAGGACTAATCTATAGGTGATGAATTTACTAGTTAAAAGTCTACTTAAATTTCTTTAACTTATAGTATTAAGATCATAAAGTAAAATGATGGTGTCTAATGCTAAACCAATTAAATCTATATTATCTGAGATATCTGATGTGTCAATAAGTTCTAAAAGGTTATCCAATCCTCCTATAGAGAGTAGGTATCCTTCTTTGAAGTAAGTTAATTATCCTAAAAAATATGCTGCTTCAACTCTTAATTCTTTATGAAATTCAGAGGAAGTGATTTGTTGATAAAATGTTGCTGCACCCAAATAACATGATAATTCTAATAATTAAGGATTCTAATCTACAACTATATTTATTAATTCAAATATCAATTTTAAAATTTATAATGATTAATCTTATGAATTATTTTCACAATAAAGTGGCATATATTTTTCAATAATTTCCAATAATGATGTTAAACCAGTATGAATAAAATATTCTTTGCATTTATCATTTGGAATAGTGTCTTTCAACTATTCTAATATTTTAATTATTTATGAATTGTCACTTTATTCTGTTAATTAAGTAATAAGTTCATTAATTTCTCTCATACTTTTACCATCTTCATTTTAACCCCAAAATCCATTTTATTTAATTTGATGACTAGTTCTTAATTTAAGTTATCTAAGTGAATCCAATTAGGAATCTCTAACAGCACTACTTTTATCAATTTTTCTTGGAGATTAACATTAGACTAATTAAGGTACTTATTCAATAAATGAGTCAGTAATGAATGTTCCGAAATTGGATTAATCTACAATGTGATTTCGAATAGTATTAGTTACTTCTTCAGGTAGATTAGGTCCTTGAACAATATGCCAACTTTTAGTAATCCAAGGATGTTTGAGCATAGTAGTAGCATCATCTCGTAAAGTAGGATCTTTTTAGAAACATTGAATAAGGAAATCTCTACATTCATTTGATATACCTTCTGGTAAAGGTGGACAATCTCTTTGTACAATTTAAAACATTGCAGCATATTACAATCTATCAAAATATGGGGGATTTCCTGTTAAAAGTTCAATGACTGTGCATCCTAAAGACCAAATATCACAGGATGTTGATAAATGTCCAGACATTTCAATCACTTCAGGTGCCATCCAATATGGAGTACCAACTATATTATTGCTTTATGTCGTATCTTCAGATAATGTTGTGGCTACTCCAAAGTCAGCTAATTTTACAGTACTTTATTATCTTATGATTTTAATTACCCATCTTTAGTAGTCAAAATATTTGCACCCTTTATATCTCTATGGACAATCCCTTATTAATGTAAATATTCCAATCCCTTCAATACTTATTTTACATATATAGCAACCAAAGACTCTGGAAATGATCCAAACTTCTTTAAAATGCTTGCTAAACTACCACTCTCTATGTATTCCAGAATGATATTTAAAAATTGATCTGTCTCTATACAATCTATGTATTTCACGATATTTTCATGTCTCAGTTTCTTCAATAGGTAGATTTCTTGCTGTAATGCTTTATATTGATCTTCTTTCAATGTGGCTCTCGACACTTGCTTTATTGCCACAAGTGTTCCCTCTATTATTGTGTGTTTTTTACTAATTCCAAATTCAATCCTTTGTACACAGTACCAATCGAACCTCTTCCTAGCAAATCGCCTAGCTAGTAATTACCGATCTTCTTCATCTATCTAGACAATTGAGACATTTAATATTATTTATTATATATATAGTAGTGATTGTAAAGAAGCGTGCAGATACAAGATGCATTTAAGCTATCTTGTATTGAATAATGCCATTACTTTAATGTGGCAAAAGTAAAAAGGGACACAAATATTGTAGATTGTGTGTCCAGAGTGTTTTTTGCCATTAATTAATTTAATTAATGAATTTAATCCCTAACGAGCGTCGAGCTATAGAGCAGCTAAGAGAGGTCAGTGAATTAGAACCAACCCTTTTGAATTGGGGGAAAGAATTACTTAACTTCAACAAGATAAGGAATAGGAAACGAAAGTCAACAACAAGAGATAGTGAACATAGATAACGTTTACCTTCATTGAATAAGGTTCCTTTAAAAATGCCTCTTCAAGAAATATAACTAAATCAAGAACACTCAACTGCTATATATTTGTAATTACCTCCCTTAACAAAACCAATAAAGCCTCAAACTGCTAAACCTAATTATAATGGTATTGTTCTTGGTGTAAACTTTGCTCATTTTGAAAGACGTATATTAAGAAAAATGAACTAATCATGAATCATATACTAAATAATTTATTTATAAATCCGCAATATATTTTTAAAAAATTAAACATAAAAATGTAGCCACAATAATTTTTGGATTTGGTACAATGTGCTTTCTTTGAGAGCAATGCTCAAAGAAGTTCAGCAGAACAAGTTCTTTTGAAATACAAAGATGAATGTCCTGATGAATTCATGAATTTTTGTGCTTAAGCATTTTCAAATCGCGGGATTTAAAATCGAATAAGAGTTGCTTGTAGTACTTTAGTAAAACGACTAGTCGGATTGATTGTATTAATCTTGTATATGATAGCATCCACTATCTAATTAAATTTTTTGGTTGGCATGTTCTTAAAAAACAAAGAATGATGTAAAACTTAAGTTCATGGAATAATTGATTGATCCTGAAAATGAAATTAGAAGATCGGCAGCAAATGTTAATTTATTAATCTATTAATTAGACTATTAGTGAAATATGTGCAATTGAATTACCTAGATAAGAATGGCCAGATTTAATTTCTAGACTTACAACAAATTCAAAACATACAGATAATTTGATTAAAGTATCAGCCATCATGACATTAGGTTATATTTGTGAAGCATTAGTATGAATTGTAATAATTTAGAAAACTCATTAATCATCAGGGATATCTGAATAAGACTCAAAAGTTATTCTAATGGGAATTTGTGTAGGAATGGATTTAAATGAATAGACTCTAGAAATTAGATTAACAGCAATCAAAGCTTTATAGGATTCTTTATATTTTATGAACAACTTGTTTAAATAATAAGTATTTTCATAAATTTTAAATTTTAGGAAATCTTTACATATGTTAAAAATCTGATCTTATCTAATGCAGTATGTAGTATTTAGGAAGTAAAACATAAAGCACTTTAATGTTTGATTGATTTTGTGAAGCAGCTATTTACATTTTTACCTGTTTTCATAAATGAATTATATTAAGCTACATAAACATCATTTGAAAATTAAGGTGAGTTATCAATAGCAGCTATTGAAATTTGGAATACTATATGTGCAGAAATGAAAGAAGAAAGAACGTAGAATGGAAATCAATAAACACCAGGAAGTAATGCAACAGATTGTTGTGAGTAATTTTTTAAGAAGAATTATGAAGGATTTATATTACCATTCATGAGAAATCTTTTATTAGATAGTGGAGATGTAGATGATGAATATTAAGGTTTATCAGTTCCTGATTCCTCTTGTAAAGGTTTAGCATTTATAATTGAATTTGCTGGTGTTAATACTTATGAATTAGTTAAGAATTTTATTTAAAACACTATTACACATTAATAATGGGAATATAGAAAGGCTAGTGTAATGGCTTTTGGAGCTTTGGCTGAAGTCTATACTGAAGAAATAGAATTACTTATTAAATCTGCTTTAAGTAGTCTTTTTACTTGTTTGATTGATCAACACTTTAAAGTCAAGAAAGCTACTGCTTAAACATTAAGTAGAGTAGCTGAAAATTATCCTTAGTGTTTTCATGAACATGATTAAGCAAATCATATGTTAGCAACTTTATTAGATTAATTGAATAATAAAATTTCTATTGTTTAACATTTAATTTGGGTATTTGTTTATCTTACTGAATAATTGCAAAAATTCCCAAATAGTATATTTACTAGAGAAAAATTTACTATTTTGTAACATTTAGCAAGCACTTCTGTAAGAGCAGATATCAAGAATCCAGAAATAGCTTTAATTGATACAGCTTTCATGGCTATTCTTAATATTATTTATAGTGTTACAGATACAAAATTATGTAATGATTATTTACTACAATTTTTTTAATAAATTTAATTATTAGAAAGTGGAAGTAATTAAGTACCAGCTGAAATTAAGTATCATTTAGAAATGGGATTAATGAGTGCTATGCATGGTTGTGTTGTAAGATTAGATGATTCAACTACTCCAGAATCAGTGTTTGAATCAATCATGAAAACATTATCAAATGTTGATTCTAGAGTTAAAAATGATTACTTTTATGTTCTTTCTGGAATAGCATATGCATTTAAAAAGAAATTATCTAAATATTCATCTTAATTGATATCAGAATTAAATAAACCTCTTTCAGAACCAGATGATATGGAAAGCTTTAAAACTGCACTGTTTTGTTTAGCTGATATTGCAAGAGCTATGGAAGAAGAGTTTGTACCTTATATGAATATTTTAAATTATTTCTTTGGTCTAATTAAAGTAATAAGTATAATAGATTTAGAATCCTAATTTCAATAGGGAATTAAAATTACAAGTTTATAATGCGATTGCAGATATAATTTTAGGATTAAAAGAGAAGTCTTTTTAATTCTTGGGGGATCTTAAAGAGATTCTTAAATTAGGATTTGCTGCTAGTATGGATTTGACAAAAAGCACTTAGAATGTTGATTAAGATTATGCAGAAAGATTAAAAGAAACAATGACTTCATTTTATACTTGTATTTTACATGCTTATTGTGAACCTAATGTATAAAATTTTGAACTTAGAGATACAGTAGAATGGTTCATAATATTTTGTACAGAAATGTGTAGCTTAAAATTAAAACCCACAATTGTAATGAATATAAATAAATAATTAGGAATATGTTCGATTGACTTTGTGTTGTATATTTGATTGTTCACATTTCTTTTAGACAGTTTCAGATATGAAAATAAAACTTAAAGACTTCATAACAAGTGATTTTGTGATTGAATTAATTAGAAAGATGAGTTAATTCAAAGATAAAGATTATTAAGAGTGTGTGTCATTTGCCAAATAGTTATTAAATGACGTTTATGGATTTTAATTGAAGTTTTATTGATTTAAATTATAATTATTAATGGGTAATGTATGTGAACTAAAACTTTGAATTTGAGAAGAGATATTTTAATTATAACACTAAAGAAGATTTGAATTTACAATGTTGATAATCAAGTCCTTATTTTACAAAGTTTAACAAAATGATTCAAATATTGAAAATAAATTCTCCATCAGGTAGATATTTATTAGTAAATTATGTATAAATAATGAATTATGTCTCGATATAAGACATAAAGTAATCAATATTTGCACAATTATAAGTAATACTCAAAATTTATCATCTTATTTTTGGAGCAATTATTCAAATAGACACTATAAAAGCTGAAACCAATAAGATTATTATATATGTTAATGAATTTATACATTTAAGAGGTTTAAATATAGAAGTATTGAAATACAAAAAATATGGAAGTGATTATATTTATGTTGTTTTTATTATGAAATATTGATTATAGAATCATTGTTGTTATTTTGAATTTGGAAAATACCATTCCTTACCAGGGGTGTATCCTAAAGTGGAGTACAATTCTTTGCGTGTTTGCATGCTAAATTATATAATATTAATTTTTATACTTTTGAACTGTATTCACTTAAGATTCATCCTTCTTTAATTATTTTAAGAATTCATCTATAGCTTTACTAGCAATTCTTAATGTTGATACAGGATAGATAACACAATTATAACCCATTTATTCAAATTCTTTTAATGAAATGTATGGAGTTTTTCCAAATTCTGTCATATTTGCCAACAAATAAATATTAGGATTTTTTAACTTCAATTCTTTAGCTACAACAGCCATTTCTTCTTTAGTATGTAATCCTTCTGGGAATATCATATCAGCTCCAGCATCCATATATGCTTTACTTCTTTTGATACATTCATCTAATCCATGTGTTCCTCTAGCATCAGTACGTGCTAAATATTGTATAGATGAGATAGATTACCACAAATAACAAATTCTCCTCCACTACATTAAATACTAGCATTTTTGGCTATTTATATCTTTTTCTCCATGACATCAGATGGTATCAATTCTTTACCATCTAAATGTCCACAACGTTTTGGGAATACTTAATCTTCAATATGTAAACCTGATGCTCCATGAATAAAATATTCCCAAACAGTTTTAGAGCACATTTCTCCTTCTCCAAATCCTGTATCAGCATCTGCTAAAATAGGTAATCCTGAAGCAAGTGCAACATCTTTTATAATTTTACAGAATCCATCCAAAGTTACCATACTTTAATAGTTATTTATAAATTATACCCAATATCTGGGACTCCACTTGATGCAGTAACAGCAGCACCTGAAATGTATAAAGCTTCAAAACCATTATCTGCACATTGTCTACCAACCATACCATTATATGCTCCTGGCATCATTAAACATTTCTAAGCTAAAAGCTTTCTAAATAATGAGCAATTTTATTTAAATAGCATAATAATTTTATTTATTTCAAAACCATTACCACTTATAAATATAAAATATTATTATATATTAAACCTTTTCATTAAATTTCATTTACTTAAATATATATATTTATTAACTAATTAACTAAATCAAAATAACGCTCATTCAATAATATTTAATTAACTTTATGGGCTGCTCTGAATCTCAACCTTTTAAATCATCTCTCACATTCAAAACTTATTCAACCATAGATTCACCATCAACATTCATTCTTCCTATTTCACTTAATGCTACATATGATCATTTTGATACTTATGAACTTGATGATCAGAATATATCACATTATTATGATGAAATCTAATAAAGAGTTATATCCATACCTAAATTACGACCTATTAATATGTCAATCATTTTTTAAAGAAGAAAAATGTCAATCATTCAATGATCTTATAATATATAATATTATTTTTTATTCTTTAACCAAACTATCTTTATTATTTTTTTCATTTCTCATCATCTATACCTTCTAACTCTTCTCTTAAATTTGTTTTCTCAATCTTATCAAAAACAATCTTCATTTAATAATGTATCATTAATGAATTTAAATTTTTTATCTATTCTATAGCATTCTTTTACTTATTATGTTTTACTTTTATTTAACATATTACAATTAAAACTTATTTCACTCTTTTATTGTTCTATCAAATATATAATTTATTTATATAATTTATAATTAAGATATATTTACATAAGATCTCTCTTTATTTTATATATAATATAATTGCTCATTTCATAAATTCTTATTTATAATCATTTCACTAAATATTATTAGTTTATAAGCCTCAAAAACAATTATTTCAATGATGCATCATCTAATTAACTTTAATAATTAAATTATTATTATGGGATGTTCAGAATCTACGCATCATAAGTCTTCTCTCTAATTGAGCCAAGACTCTACATTAGATACATGTAGAACATCTCCAATTAAACCTAAACCTAAACCAGATCTCTTAGATTTATACAACTTTGAAGATTTCGATACATCTGAATTGAACATTGAATAAACATGTTTTCATTTCTATGATATTCTTCTCCAAAAAGTTGTAACAGTCCCAAAATTGTAGCCTATCACTGCATCCACCATTCTTTAAAGAAGAAATGATAAAATATGATATACTTTCTCTATATTTTTACTTACAAATTTAATACTTATAACATAATCAAAAGCTCAGAAATCATATTAAAAATCATTAAAAATGTCTTTTCAAGCATATATCAATTAAGATCATTATGAACATTATTCATAGAAAAACGATTAAATTCACAATTACAATAAATATTAGATATCTTAAATTAAATTTTAAAATTTATTTAATCAAATTTTATCTCATTTAATTCTTGTCATCTTTCTGAATGCTTTTGGGGTTATTTACTTTCATGTTGATCATACTTTTTAGGATTTCTTACCTTTTTTCTTTATTGTTGTCTAATGAATATTTAAAATTTATGAATAATTAGTTAAATAAATAATTAGATTGACTGTTTTTCTCAATTAAAAATTATCTAAAACTCTATAATCTAATATGTTTAGAAATTAATTCCAAAGGTTTAAAAATAAATTGTTTATGGTTTTTTTATTTTTAATTAAATTATGGATAACAAGTATATTTAATACCAAATTGCTTTATTATGAATATAATAATAAAATAAATTATGCTAATCAAAGGTCTTTTCTCTAATTTCTTGAATCAAAAGTTGAAAAGTTTTTGTTAAATTTGAAAGTTTGTAATAACAGTATCAATTCGAAAAAATGGAAGAAATAATTTTAAAATAAAATTTTTCCAATGATTATTAATACATATTGAAATTTTAAAGTAAATATAATTTATTCTTTGGTTAAAAAAAAATCATCTTTTTTTGAGACATAAGTTTAATGATTTTAAGAATGAAAATAAGAATTTTTNTTTCACTAAATATTATTAGTTTATAAGCCTCAAAAACAATTATTTCAATGATGCATCATCTAATTAACTTTAATAATTAAATTATTATTATGGGATGTTCAGAATCTACGCATCATAAGTCTTCTCTCTAATTGAGCCAAGACTCTACATTAGATACATGTAGAACATCTCCAATTAAACCTAAACCTAAACCAGATCTCTTAGATTTATACAACTTTGAAGATTTCGATACATCTGAATTGAACATTGAATAAACATGTTTTCATTTCTATGATATTCTTCTCCAAAAAGTTGTAACAGTCCCAAAATTGTAGCCTATCACTGCATCCACCATTCTTTAAAGAAGAAATGATAAAATATGATATACTTTCTCTATATTTTTACTTACAAATTTAATACTTATAACATAATCAAAAGCTCAGAAATCATATTAAAAATCATTAAAAATGTCTTTTCAAGCATATATCAATTAAGATCATTATGAACATTATTCATAGAAAAACGATTAAATTCACAATTACAATAAATATTAGATATCTTAAATTAAATTTTAAAATTTATTTAATCAAATTTTATCTCATTTAATTCTTGTCATCTTTCTGAATGCTTTTGGGGTTATTTACTTTCATGTTGATCATACTTTTTAGGATTTCTTACCTTTTTTCTTTATTGTTGTCTAATGAATATTTAAAATTTATGAATAATTAGTTAAATAAATAATTAGATTGACTGTTTTTCTCAATTAAAAATTATCTAAAACTCTATAATCTAATATGTTTAGAAATTAATTCCAAAGGTTTAAAAATAAATTGTTTATGGTTTTTTTATTTTTAATTAAATTATGGATAACAAGTATATTTAATACCAAATTGCTTTATTATGAATATAATAATAAAATAAATTATGCTAATCAAAGGTCTTTTCTCTAATTTCTTGAATCAAAAGTTGAAAAGTTTTTGTTAAATTTGAAAGTTTGTAATAACAGTATCAATTCGAAAAAATGGAAGAAATAATTTTAAAATAAAATTTTTCCAATGATTATTAATACATATTGAAATTTTAAAGTAAATATAATTTATTCTTTGGTTAAAAAAAAATCATCTTTTTTTGAGACATAAGTTTAATGATTTTAAGAATGAAAATAAGAATTTTTAATCGAATGTATATTTTGAGGAAAAATAAAGATAGTTTATTAATTATGATTTTTATAGTAAAATTTAAATATTGAGGGTATTGAATTCTTTAATGGATTTAGAACTTGATAATTAATTATATTCTAATTTTTCTTAATAAATTTTCTTACCCATTAATTCTAAATTATAAGAATTTTTAATCTCTTAATGATGACCACAAATAGAAGTGTGTAAAAGAAAGTAAATTAAGTGAAACATATACAATAAAAATCATTTTTATTTAATGTTAACGAATGTGGGGTTGACCCACTGTAATTTTGGTCTTGACATAATAAGTTATTTGATTTATTTAGAAATCGTAAGGGCTGGTTCATCTCTACAAAATTGGCATAAGACAATATCTAAATTGAATCTAACTCTTTTATTTTGTTTTAATTTATGTGTGGGTTTGAGAATAATGAATTAGGAAGTTGATAAGTCATCTTTTTACAAAGTTTCAGTATAATAATCATCTAAACACTCGATATCATCATTAGTTTGATTCTAATATTCTGAAATAGGAATCTAAAATATTGATTTTGGACCTATCATTTGAAAATGATATATTATTTTATATTTCCAATTTTATTTTGAGTCTTAATTTAGATAATAAAGAATTTTAGTATATATAGATAGGTGATTTATACATATTTGACAATAAAACTAATAATAGAGTATTTAAATAATAATAGTTAAAATAAAATATTAAATGGGTAATTGTAATTAGAATAACTAAATAATCTTATTGAGTGGAAAGTTGAAACAGATGAAATTATTAATAGAAAGGGGTGATTATACAATATATGAACATATTTCGGAAAAGAAACAATATGAATATTGGGTTTGGAAATCAGAATAGGAAAATTTTGAAGAAGCAGAATTGACTACTTATGATTTTAAGTAATGTGATTCAATAACAAAAATATATTATTAATCAAGAGGTTGTGTAGTAGATACATTTAAAAATGAATATTTATTTGCTATTTTAATGGAACATCCTACTTATAATTTATATGATTATTTGGATAAAAAAAAAATACTCTATAAAAATTAGATTGTAAATATGGTTGCAAATATATTTGGAGCATAAAGAACATTAAGAAGTAGTTGCTAGTATTTAGGATTTTATAATATATATACGACAGATGGAGAGAGTTGGAAATTGAAGCCTTTTTAAAAAGTAACTTCTTTTATTCTCAATAATAATTAATTTTTTGGGTATCCTGCTCCAGAAGAGTATAAATAAATTAAATATAATGTTGAAAAAGCTACAGTTTTTGGTTTTGGAATGTTAATATTGCATTTGATATTAAGTGATAATTAAAATTTTATATTTTAGAAAAAAGTGTTGAAGATGTATACTATAATTCAAATATTGCTGAGAATGTTTTAAGTTAAAAGATTATAGAATTATAATAAAATAAGAATTATGAATAAGATTTTTTAAAAATAATTATTTAAATGTTGATTATTGATCCAGATTAGAGACCTAATTATAATTAATTAGTAGATTAATTAACTAAAATTAATATTGAGTTACCATCTCAATAATTATCAAATCTATATAAAATACAACATATAAATTTTAATAATGAAAATAATAGTGTGATTTCAGATTGTTTGGTATCAGTTCCATTAGATAAGTAAGATTATCTAATCAAATTACTTAATTCATAATAGTAATAATAATAGTAATAATAATAGTAATAATAATAGTAATAATATTAGTAATAATAATAATGTTAAAGAATAGATGAGGATGAGAAAGAATCATTAGGTAATTATTATATATCTATAATGAAGAATCTTTTATCTCACAAGGTATCTAATAAAGAAATGGATATTCTATTATTAATTATAATAAATTTATTAAATTGGATAAAGCATATGATTATCATGATTTTACAAATGTAATGATGTATGCAATCAAGTATTAAGGAAATATCAAAGATTCAAAGTATTTATTTATTTAAATAAAAAGAAAAAATGGTTCAGGAACACTGTATTTATCAAATAATGAAATATTTTAAGGAAACTTTATAAATGATAAGATTGAAGGTGAAGGAAGATTTTAAACAATTGATAAATATATTATAAGAGGTGTATGGAAATAGCAAAAACTTTAATAAAAAAACTAAATTACTAAAGTTCGACCAATTTTTTAGGAGAAATAAATTTTAAGTGCTAGACGTTAATTAAATAAATAATATAGTCAAAATGAATTTAATAATATACCTGAAGAGTTTTTAGGTTAATAGAAAGAACATTAAATAGGTGAATTAACTACATTTACAAATCTTTAGAATGAATTTATTAATCAAATTAATTATCATTCTACTGAAGATTTAAATGATCGTAGATAAGGTAAATTGATTATATAATTTTAGGTTATATATTAAATGAAAATGGAATGGTAATATATGCAGGATTATTTCGTGGTAATTAATATGATGGGAATGGAGTTCTAAAAAACTTTAATTCTTAAATTATTAATATGGTTAATCCTTTGGATTTTAATTAAGCATTAAGTTTGAATGCATGGGTTAAATATGATGGAGAATTCAAAGATGGAAAGTAAATCATAATTATAATTAAGTAGAAAACATGGAAATGGCAAATTATATTTTAGTGATAAGAGCGTTTATTCAGGACATTTTGAAAATGATTAAATTTCTGGTTAGGGATAATTTACTAATTTATAATAATAAGTAATCTTAGGTATATGGAGAAATGGATTATATCAAAATGCTATTTTATGATTATATATAAATTAACTATTTTTAATATATTAAATATCTTTTGTTTATCAATTAACACTTCAAATTAAATAAATAGATTTTTTAGAATGGAAAATTTACAATATATATAATTTTAATTATTATTAATAATGATGATCAACTATATCATTTTTAAAAATTCTTATAATCCATCATTCAATTTATTCTATTACATTACTTAAAGATTCTAAGATAAATCAAGGTTATAATATTTATATAATCATTATTAACATAGTTTCTCCAATATATACTTATAATAAATATTAGATTTTTATAATAAAGAATACAAAAATATTAAATCGAATATTTAAAAGAGCAAATTTCATATAAAAATTCATATTAAATTGAAATATTTTCATTTTAATAATTATGTAAATAAAAAGTAGTCGTCGCAGATTTCTTTATAAAACTCATATATAAGAAATTGGAACAGAGTAAAAAAAAGAGAAATAATATTGATGTAGTGATTAAATTTCTTATAAAACAAGAGTAATAATAATTAGTCTTGGATTTTAAATTTATTAGAAATCCTATGTTATTTATATAAATCAAAGAATCAATTATCACTCTTATAAGATCTTTTCAACTAATTTATCAAAAGATTTATTTTTGCCATATTCTTTTACATATTTGATTAAGTCTTCTTTATCCTTTTAAGGAAATAAATCTTAAAGTTATTTAATTATTTAATCCTGTTTTGGAGCTTTGACAGTTATCTTAATAGGATTATCCAATTGTATAGATTGTTATTTCTCATCTTAACAAATTATCTAAACATTTTTTTTTATTTATTACATAAAAGTCATAAATCTTTTCTTATTGATTTTTGAAATGAAAAAATACGTATGGTAAGTCAATATTAATTGTTAAACATTCACCCATTTGCAATATTAGAAAGATTTTAATTGATGTTTAATTCTATATTTTTTAGAGAAACATTAATCCACTAATTTGATCCACTATTCATAATATTAATTTGAACAGGTATCTTTTTTCCAGGAATAGCTGTAAATACTGGTATTCTTGATGTTAATGTGACTTTATATTTTGCAATTTTATCTTTAATTGTCAATCCCAACTCTCTTATTCTTTAATCTACTATATCAGTTATCATTTATTTTAATTTTTCATTTTATCTAAAATCTATCTAAAGTGTGTTCTATCCGTTATTATTTTTTGTTTCTTAAAACTAAATACTATAATATATAATCATTTAACATTACCCTTGATTTCCAAAATTTTGGTCCTCTTATTTAATTAATCTGTTTATATTGGTTAATTTAATCTACAAACATCTTTGTTTTATATCTCTTAACCAAAAATACTTTAATTTAATACTCCCTATGAATCTTTTAAAATTTATTTATAGTCTTATGTGTCTGTTACTAGCAGTTTTATAGAAGCCCATTTATTTTATTTATAAAGTTCTTATAATTATTAAAATTCTTTATCATTTCTTATTTCTGCTATTGACTCTTTCTCCTCTAAATTTTTTCATTTAAATTATAACCTAGATTGATTATTGCAAACAAATATATTTCATTTAGTTACTAATAATTTTATTTTATTGTCTCAATAATATTTTTGTATTTTGTTA